GGAAAAATTAATTAATAAAACAGTGAAAACAGCACAGCAGCCACGAGCAAAGCCTGGACGATATAAAGAACCTCCACATCAAGATAGCCAGGTGGCACAATATCTGCCCCATATAAGAGGGACGATGGGAGGACGAACACGAGCCTTCATGGTTAATTAATTAATTAATTAATTAATAAAACAGTGAAAACAGCACAGCAGCCACGAGCAAAGCCTGGACGATATAAAGAACCTCCACATCAAGATAGCCAGGTGGCACAATATCTGCCCCATATAAGAGGGACGATGGGAGGACGAACACGAGCCTGCATGGTTTACGAATTTTAATTATTGACAATCCAAAAAAATTTTAATTAGCATCAAGAAATTTTATACAATTTTATAAAAAACTTTACATTCCCAGGAAACTGCTGTGTTTGTGAAATGTTCTAGTTTGTGTACTATGTATTGTAGCATATAAGTGTACGTACTTTACGTCTAAACAACTTATGTGATGGTGGTTTCCTATTTGTAGTGATGTTTGCCCTCTGAAGATGGTCCACAGAGACCGAAACATGTAAGGGTGTTGAGTTTTCATGTAGTAAAAAACTTACAGGTCACATTGGACGGAGTGATTTATATTTGTAATTAATTCTTGTTTGACATAAGGGAAATGTTTGTAAAGTACGCTGCCCCTAAGCGCGCCGCCAGCCCTTGCCATGAGCCTCCGATGGGATCATGTTCTCCTCTTGCTGTTACCTACGTGTATGTAGGGACCGTAGGGACTGCCGTCACATCTCCCACTTTCAGTCTGTTACCCTTTGTGAGGGATGTACGCATGCGCATTTAAATTTGGTTCAGACGTCATGCCATAAGACTTCCATGATTTTAATTCTCCAGTCAGCACGTCATTTAACGACAGCGTGAACTCATTTATGGTTTGCTGCCTCTTCTGCGATATAACGTCCTCTAGTCCAGTGAAAGTCAACTGACGTTTCGAGGGAACATATTACCCCCATCTTCAGGGTTTAAGACTAAGCGAAACTTTGTTTCATGCCTGGTTCTTGCTGGTTTCTTACTTGAATTTCTTTCGACCCTGAATATGAATATGTTCCTCTGAGACGCTGCTTGACTTCAAGCGGAATACACGGTGCTATATCCCAGAAGACGAAACTGTTCTTCTTCATGGTTTAACGGCTCTGCCGGTATCTCAAGCTAGGCAGATTCCTGTATACCCAGTGGTAGGACAGTCAGTGTGAATAACGAATTGAAAAGGATGTGGCCCAAAATGAGGTAGTCTCTACAGGAACTGAGGTAAAGTTAAAGTTGTTCTTGTGTCCAACTAATTAAGGACTATGCCATAAAGACGCGGTCAGTTTCAGGACCCTTCCTCTTTACCCTCGGGGAAACATCCCCCGATACCCATTAGGTAGATAGGCTGGGTGAATCCCAGAGCCGGCCTTGGAGGAAAGGAAATTCTTGCCCTCGCTGGGAATCGAACCCTATCCATCCAGCCTGTAGCGCGTCATTATACCGACTGAGGGCCTGAAATTCTGTAACTATCTGCTGACAGGAAGCTGTAGTTGCTGTTCAGTTTGATGGGGCGCGCTGACGAACCGTGTAGGTTGCCTTACAAACTTCTTTTGTGAGTTAAGAATTAGAAAAATGGCGGAGGCTCGAGACAGTTGACATGTAGTAGAAATCTATACTAGCGGTAGTTGTGCACTGAAGTTGCCATTAGTTACTGAACTCGAACTACACGGAATACTACCGCGTTCAGATATGATCAAAAAAAAAGAAAAAAAGAGAGAGAATATAAAATTTCCCCTCTCCAAACATTTTTCACTCCGAAGATGCGCGATCAGCTTCACGCTTCACCCCCGCATTCCCGGCCGGGGAGAGACTTGGTGCCTATTGGATGAAATGCTGGGTGGGCTCCAGAGCCGGTCTGGAAATCTCTCTGCCTGTCGAGAATCGCAGTTTTAGTGTTGTGATTTCCCTATCCCGTCTTTTGTGATATGTGACAGAGATGCCGAGACAGGGAACGTCCTGAAGGAATACGCGCTACTCGAGAACGAATTGAACAACACGTCGCCTGTGTACTCAACAGGCACACACAGCGCCTCAGGGGACCGATCGTCACAAGAGCTGTCTTCACGGAGTCTTCACGTGGTCTCCGTTTACATTGCTCACTCACGAGTGTGGATCAGAAATAATAAACAAACTTCTTTCAACGGCTAGAACCTGAACAGCCTTTCTTGGTTGCTCGCCTGTGATGTATGGATGAAGGTTGGACTAAGAGACTGTTGAAGTAAAAGCACTCTCGGTCGTTCTTAGCTATTTAAATGTTCACGTATTTCCGAAGGATTTGCTAGCTGTCTTATCCTGCATTTTGTTGGCGAGGCATGAACATACACGTATACCTCGAATCTCCTTACTAGTGTCTCACAGAGCTGCTGTGTTTCTCTGCACAATATGCTTGAGGGTGCTGAGGAGAATATTTAGTGAGCTAAGAAAGAAGAGGGCCGGTCACGGTAGCCGAGCGGTCTAAGGCATGCACTGTCTTCACTCGCTTGGAAACCGGTATCGTGGGTTCAAATTCCACTCAGGGAATGGATGTTTAGTTTGTGTGTGAGTTTTTCTGTGTTTGTGTATAAGTAGAGGCCTTGCGACGAGCTGATCACCCGCCCAAGGAGTCCTACCGAATGTATAAGATCTAGAAAAACCGAAGTGAACGGGAAGTTCATGAAGGTAGGCCTAGGCCCACTGGGGCTGTAGTGCCAAGGGGGGGGGGGAGAAGAAGAAAGAGGTGACAGGAAGCTGAACAAATACGCATAATGAAAATTTTCATAACTTGTCTACACTTTTCAAAATATTGGTAGGATAATCACAGCGGGGTGTTGCGGGTTCAGATCTCGGCCGGCCTACCGACCGTCCGGGCTGAGGTGTTGATGGTTTTCCTGGGTCCCTCCAGGCACGTGCCTCGCATGTCATTCCATGCTACGTCAAACAAGCTACAAAGAAATAAATGTAGGCTTCGTTTCACGCTTGGGCAGCTGCATCCACAGGAAAGTAAAGCAGGTGGGCATCGCCCGTACCTCTGCCTTTCCAACAGGCCCATGTCTGGTTGCTGTTACCGACTGTGCCACCTCCGCTAGCAGTTATCACATTAAACCGTAAAACGTGAAGTAAAGCCATGACGTTACAACTTTCATTTCCGTTCAGATTTAGAATTACAGTCGCACAACGAGAAGGCACTGAATCATCGCTGGAAGAAGCTTGCTTAAGATCTATTCACACTACATCAAACGTCGCAGACAGGGGACGCACTAGCAACGAACCGACAGTTTGATCTGCACACATCGGTTTGTTACAGCATGTCTCCTCGAATCTCTTGCTAGCCACAGCGACTGAACAAAGTGATTCAGCTGTTCCTGCAGCTCTATTACAAGGAGACATTTCCAAGCAATGACGACAGTGTAGATGTATTAGCTTCATAATTCCTTTTCTTGCAAAATTGGAAGGGTAACATTGTACTCTCTATAAATTATGGTTCACAAAGAATAAGTGGATGACAACACCAGCATTATAGCTGCTTCCAAATGACAAAGTAGCAATCGGAGTTTTGTTAATAAAAATTCGAGATGTTGTGGTTAGACAGGACACTTCCCTTAGGGAAAGAATAATGCCAATAGGGAATATTAGGAATTATCTTATAGAAAGTTTGCTCTATTAAGTGAAGTCCTGCGTTTTGTTTCGAATCGCAGATTTACGGTCCTGTATGATAGGATTCAGCTGCAGATAAAGCAAGGCAAGATGTCATATCTGAAATGGACCAGAAAGTAGGCGGTCACTTAGGTGATCTGGTGAACAAGATGTAACATTTTCAGATTTGAAAAATGTCCCTATTATCTACTCCGCGTTTTTGTGTCTGTTCGCATGTAACAGATGTGGAAACGCTTAAGAGACTGTCATGAAATTTCATATTTGGCAGTTTTTCTCAATATTTCTACTTATTTTTGTAGACAATAATAATGGACCCTTTACGTGAACCCCAGCGGGTTTTCGCGTGTCGCTGACTGTAACTCGCAAAATCTTTAATGGAGCGAATATTTCGAACTGACGTAAAAAAAATAATATTCAATATTTTTTTTCCGTAAGTCTTGAGGTTTTCGAAGTAACTCGAGAAAATGGATTTGTGTGGCTTCTTATCTCACAACACGAGAGCCGATGGATTGATTCCGGTCAAGTCTTTGCTGGAGGCAGGCCTAACTCGCTCCACCGCCGCACATGCTTTGCGCTGTTTATAAGATTATCGACAGTTGGCATCCACGAATTTGAAAATGTAGAGGCAAAGTAAACATGGCACAATTGTAGTCCTATTTCCTAATATATTTCCTCTTGACGTCATATTCACAGGCGTCGCCAAGTTTTTATCAGAAGAGCCAATTTCTCGGAGAGAAATTTCAATAGGGGAGGCAGTCACAAAATTTCCTTAGAAATTTACACTGAAGCCCTTTAAGACTCTTATTACTGAGATAAAGAAATGTTTAATTCCTACATTTCCTTCTTTTCTTCGCTTTAGATCTTCTTAATCTAGAGAAGGCGACAGTTGCCCAGTTTTCCTCCTTTGCCTTCGGCGTCTATACTTATATTGCGTAAAATCTCGTGGTTTTAAAAGTGACAAAATCTGTTTTCGATTCTCTGCCGATACTCGATGTGAGGCGACCCATACACGGACGAGTTTGACTCATTGGAACCCGAGCCGAGTCGGACTCGCGAGCCAGACTCGTACGTGTATGGGCCCCCTGACGGTAGCTTGTCCAACTCTCAGAGCATGCTTCGCCACTTTGCCGACCGGTGCCTGTCTGTGACGTATACTGTGAACATACATTTGGGAATATTTTTCCCGTTGCCTGTCGGTAACGTTGCGTACAGTGTGAACAGACCTTCATATTCCGTCAACACTGTTTATTTCATGTAGACCCCAAGTCCGTTTTATTGCTTTTATTATGTTGCAGAAGCATCAGATGACGTCAGCTTCGTGCATGATGCCGTGTGCCTGTGCTGCTGTGTGTGTGTGAGCAAGAAACGTGGAAATGTTGCTTCCAACTTTTCGTCTTCTTTCTGTCTGAAATCCTGCATATTTACTAGACGGTTGTACGGATCGGGGGAATGTCTCTTGGTGACAGAAAGCCACTGCAGTTCGTTGTTAGTGGGCGAACCAAATGGATGGAAGTGAGGGAGGTGCTGAGATATTAGTGCAGCTCATTTCTCCTGAAGAATTACCCGTCTGTGAGTGCGTTCACCACGAAGACCAGAAAAAGCTTACATCGCCGAGGTCCGGGAAGCGGTGTTCTGCCGAGGAATGGCAGACGGTGCTACTGTTTCTTCACGCATGGCACCCGCCCTACTTCATATTCTTCATCAGCATCCTGGAGGTAAGGCAGTGACTAATATCTTCAGTAAATTAACTGAACTTAATCACTGGAGTGATTAATATCCTTTGCTGGCGGAAACGTCTTGGCCCTTAAAAAAAGGACTGAGATATTATACTGCACCCGAGAATACGTATTTTCCAAAGGCTCTCTGTCATATGTTGCAAATTGTATTGGCCTCTGCTCATTTCTTGCTTCAAATCTGAACACACTGCACAGGCTCAGAGATCATTTCTGTACGTCAGAAGCATAAGGACTGAAGAGATGACAGAAACGCGGGCTTGCAACAGCTTCTGTTTCTGATGTACATATTTTTACTGACATTTAAATAATCGCGCACTGTACTGAGAATGTTTCGAATACAAATTTCGTAATTCAGTAAGTCTATATTTCTTATTGTCTATACTAGCTTTTCGTGCGATGATCGTTTCTGTGACATTTGACACAGGTCTCTTTGAGACTCGTGTAAAGTAACGGCTAATTCGCCTTCAACTGTTACTGTGGATCTCTCACTAAAACATTCAATCAATTTTGAATGATCATAATAATCACTCTAACGGTCATCCAAATATTCCTATACGGAATATGTGAACAGCCACGGCGTTCAAATTGTGCGTTTATTTAATCGCTTTGGTCAAAGACCACACGAGGTAGAAACCGGGCTGGAATGATTATCGGCGTTAGAAAATTGTAATGGATAACTGATAATTCAGGTAAGGTTCTTCGTTAAGAATCAGAAATATTGCTAATATATTCCAGACGATTACCGTAAACCTGCAGAAACCTGTTTAAACAGCATTAATTTCACATGCACAAGAGATAATGATGGATTTATAAGATGCTGAAAACAAATTTAACAGCGTGAGATGTAGAATATAAAAGGAACAGGAAACAAAGAACAGAAATTTGGAGATCAAATGGTTCAGTGTCCAAGTCCCCTTGTCAACCTTACGTTAACGCGTCTGGTAACGTCAGGTAAAACTTAAAATTGCTTTGATATTCTAGAACTACATTGTCGCTTGCAGACCCATTGCTAGACAACGACCGCGAAATAAGCAGCTCTACAATAGCCGTTGCTAAGTAATGGATCTGTAAACAACGGCCGTTGCTAGCTAATGGCCGCAACATACAAGCACACAACAATAGGAGAACTGTTGGAAGCGGTGTTGTCTGTGCGGTCCGTGCCGAGGCTATATAACGAGGGCCACCTGCCATCTGAAGAGAGTCTCGGGACAGCAGTGAGAATAGTAGGAGGCTGATGTCAGATGACCGCCAACCTGGGAATTAGTTGGAACGATGAATTAGTTGTGGGCCTTGTGGGACAGCCGTCAGCCGGTAAGAATCTGAGCCGGACAATCCTAGCAATCCGAACTGCCGAACCAACTTACAGTAATCCCCCCCCCCAATAGTCTGCACCTCCAAAAATTGCTAATTTAATCCGGTTATTTTACTTCCTTGCGGTAGAAATGAATTCTTATGAGACATGACAGAATATGTTAATGTAACTGCCCCTGTAGGTCGTGAAATGTGCAACCCGGTAACCGCCAGACCCGAGTCCGGAGTGCACTCGAGTGTCTGTGGGTTCCCCCCTCCCCCTCCTACAAATCTTTTGGGTAAATACGTAATTTTGCAATATAATTTCGAATTCTTCATTCGAAGTCCAGTAAACCGAATGAATCACTAGTGGTTTAATTAGTTCGGATTATCGGGGCTGCAGTAGGTAGCATTTGTGAGTACAGGTGTCAGTTTTCCATGATGCGGTCAGTGTAGGAAGCATTTACCGACCATTGTGCTAATTACACAAATTTGAACTCAGAGAGGAAGAAGTGATTTGGTAACAGACAACTGTTAGGCGGATAATGACATTTTAGCGTTAATTCTGTTATATTTTCAAGCAGCTGATCTCCCTGCGCATCACGAAATAACACGTTTATGTGCACAACACGGCCATCTGTTTTCCATACAAACACAGAATTCAACTGGGTTTTACTCAGCTGCTGCCTTCTAACATTAGCGTGCCAGTATTTCTGCCCAAGGGTAAAGTGAGTACTGATCTCAGAAGTAAATAAACCGCTCTGGAGCTGCTGTTACTTCATGCACTTGAACCTAATCCTTAAGAAAACTTGCAAGCCCAGTGAAAGTCCGTCAGGTTTCCTTTTCCTCAAATGATATCGACGAACCTGAAATAATGATCAATAGCCATAATTTGCAGCTGTCATGCAGTGCTGCTTCGCTGTCTGTGTTGATAGGCCTTCGAAAGGGTGGGGCAACAGCAAGCATGGAAGCGATAATAAATTCATATACAACTTTCGTCGGATATCCCGAAGGGAAGAAATTGTCTGGAAGACCACGTATATGTAACAATGATGCAGGCTATTAATACATGGATGGTAAGATATCAATTTTTCAGCCCCCCCCCTCTCTTCATATCATTTTTACCAGTACTGTTGAAAATACTGCAACCGCTCTTACGCCCTTTATTTTCTGATGTTGGTTGGGTTCCGGTGGCATTGAAAGTCTTCCTCAGGATCGTTTACGGGTCTTGGATTATGAGACAAAGGGTAATGATATTACGACTGCACACATTACAATTGCTTACTGGTTTAATATATTATTTGCAGAACACGTCTATCTGTCGGAATCACCAAATTAGAAGTCCCCCCTTGAAGCTCGGACTATATCCTTGAGTTTGGGGACATTAATTCTCCCACCCTCGCAGATATATGTCATCATTGCTTCTCATTCGATCATTCAAACGGAAGGCGGGTGTTACAACTTTGAATCCTCCAATACCCTCCTACAATTATATCTTCGAAGCCGCTGGTCCAGCGATATTCCCAACGATTCCTGAGACCTCGCTGGACTGCAGCTGCGAAGTGTAATATTTCAAACGATAAGCGGCATCCTTTGCTCATAATATATATATTTATATTGGTTTCACGTAACAACTGACACTATGGCACCACTATCCCGTGCCGCAGGGATATGAGTGTCAGTTGTTTATACGCCGCTCACACCAAGTCTTACTCCAATATTCCAATTTCATCACTAGCTTAAATTGGACGACTTCAATACCTACGTTCATTACATACACGTTACTAGGCCGCGCCATAGCTCAAGCGGTTATTCGCTGGTTCGATCCAGGGTATGGTCAAGTGGGATTTGTGGTGGACAAAGTGGCGCTGGGGCAGGTTTTATTCGGTTTCCCCTGCCAATCTTCATTCCACCAATTGCTCCACAATCACCCTCACCTATCATCTGGGGCTGGTACAATACAAAAGTGGCTGCAGTACAAGGGACTTAGTCCCACCCCACTAGCAATAAAAAAATAATACTACTCTAGAGCAGATGTCATAAAAAGGAAATAAATGAGGCCTCACCAGAGGTCCTAGCATTCTGTCCTGGTATGGAACCTCGTGAAGCAATCTCCTTCATGCAGGGGGACTTTGCATGTGTTGCAGATATATCTGGCGTCTTTACGTTATTTGTCAGCCCCTCACACTCGGCAGGGTTTCTGTGGATATTTCTTTTGTCCAACTCCAACAGCCGCCTGAAGTTGGTGCTCCTTCATGACTCCTGAGAGTCTCCCAACAGGATATCTTCTTGGTTCATTGGGGGGGGGGGGCTAGGATCATCGTTTTCATCGGCGGCTTCTACGTCTCTTCTAAGGTCATTCCTGCCCAATAATCTGCCACCTCAAGTAGAAATTATTTGATCCTGGGTTATGCAAACTTGTGCACTCGAAAGAAACCGAATAATGCACAATTGCCGAACCAAAGCACGACCTCTTTACTCCATTTTATGTTTCTTTAGGGTTTGCTCTGTCAACACCTTTCATGAACCTGTACTGAATTACAGAGGTTGGCTTTTTCTATCCTTTCTCCAAATTTGTTGGTGACCTCTCCAATTATGCCGTTATATAATGTGCTAATCACACGAACCGCCCTCTCATCCTCTTCCTGTACGACAGACAGTATCGTCCATCTTTTTTTGCTTGAGAGGAACCAGCCAATGACTTTGGAATCCCCATATTGGCCCTGATTGTTCTGCAAACTCCTGTCTTCCTTATGAGTAGCTTTCCTGCAATTTCGACACTAATATAATAGTTATCCTGGTAAACATGGTGCCATAGGTCGAGGTAAGGTTCCAGGACTGAAAATACGGTCTCTTCCACTTGTTACCTTCTGCAGTACATATTTCCATATTGTCAATATGGCCTGTGGTGGCCTCACACCATGCGGACCAATATACTGTACTTCACGAGTTTACCATTGCACGTCCTGAACCTGAGGCGCTCTCGCCCTTGGATCATCGCCTTGTCAAGTGATAGCGCTTGTGGTGGTCTGCAGTGTCTCGTGAATGTTTCAACTTGGTTATCTAAAATCGGCCTGATCTTGTGTAGTTTGTGTTTCATCATCCAGGTTGGAATTGTCATTGTAATGCCAAAAATTCCAAACATGCTCAAATATGTTTCTGCTTATTAGCTTACCAAAAATTGGAATTTATATTAATTTACTGGTGCTCCGGTAATCTCTAGTTTTATTTTCTTTGACATGGCCCATCAAAATGATTATTGTAAGAAACTTATTCTTATATGTAATGCTAACATCTTTCCATGCTAAAAACTTTGAGGGCGTTTTTGTATTTGTCTGCGTTTTGAGTATGGCATAAATTTGATTATTGCACAAGAATTTCAAGAATATCATTCTCAAGAAAGCGGGTCACTACTTCAGACATACGGGTAGGATCATCGGGTGTAAATGTGAGACAACTGTTACCTAAATCCTGTTCTAAATATCTTAAATCATCATTATTAGTCCAACAGTCATCAACATCATCATCAATGTATACATCTTTATCACTCACCTTTAACCTCGCTCTTTTTCCGCCTTCTGTGACGCTGAGGGTCCCAAATCATAGTCCTCCTCCTCCTAGTTATGATCTTCACTACTTTTATCACTTTCACAATCACTTGAAGCATCTGATAACCGGTCTGCATTTAATTCTTGCACAATTTCATCGTCTAACAAACTTTCCTCAACAACGAAGTGCCATCTTGAAACTAGAGTAGACGGAAGATAGAAAATCGCGATTTTTTAAATAAACAGAACACTGTAAAAGAAAACCAATGTGTATATTGACATCTAGAAACATTCAAATCAACGTAATACAGAGTTACAAGTTGAATAAATCTCCGTTAGATGGCAGAATAATACTGGTAACTGTAGTACATACTTGAATGAATGTATATGGGATTGGCCTTCTCGGCCCTTATACTTAGGCAGGAAATTTACTAAAAAATCGCGGGGTGACCGCTATGATAGAATGAGATGTTTAAATGAATGTTCTACAGAGATCCAGATGGGACTGCCTAAGCCTTTTTTGTATATACATTTATTTTTCCAAAATAAAAAATTCTGAAAAAATGATACTTTTACGTAACCCGGCCTTTATGCATGGCGGCTGTATTACGGTGATTCACGCAGCCCGGCAACAATGTGTTAAAATAGATAGTATTGCATCACGTTGTATAGAAACGATAGAAATAAGTGAATCTTCAGACATACAACGTATATTCCAGAGCACATCTCGTGTGACTGAAAGGTTATGTTTGTTTACAAAGGGACCGTACACAAATAGTATAAGAGTACAGAAATAATACACGAATCTGACTGAGGACAGAGGGCAGCGGCGACCTGTTGTGGACACGGTAATGAGTGTTTGGGTTTCATACAAGTGGGGGATCTCATACCAAGCTGAGCTGCTGTTGGCTCCTCAAGCATGTCTCTAATTCCATGAAGTTAGCTCATTGAAATCTGTATAACATTCTTAGGCGCGTTTCCAACCCTGCCTAGTAATTTCGCTCAGTATTTCTGCCCACACGCATGGATCAATTCAAGAACAGCTGAATGAAATGTCATGGCCCCGATATTTTCGAAATTCACAAGACGCATTACGGCAGATGGTATGGCGTAGTCGGTATAGCGATTGATTATGGGATAAATGACCATAGGGTCGGAGTTCGAGGCACGGCAGGGTCACAAATTTTTTTTCTTCTCCACGTCGTCCAGACTGGCTCTGGGATGCACTCAACTTCCTATTAAACACAGTAATTGAACAACCATAAAGGTAAATTTGCATTTGTTGTATTCAGCCAACCCATTTGCTGAGAACTGTGTCTATTTGTCACGTTCAAGAAGGCAGCTATATATATATCCGTACTACTACATANTTCGCCCCGAGCCAGATCCCCCTCCCGCCCGCATAGCCCCCCCCCCCCCGGGTCCAGTAGCGAGTAAAACCGAGAGGGCGTGCAGTGCACGGATGTGAGAACGACAGCACGTCTCAAGTTTGATAAAAGACGGACAAGAGCGTTCAGAAAGCTGTGAATATCTTTCTCTTGTTCACGCTGCCACTGATCCCACTCAGCGCTTTGAAGACTGAAATGCAGCTAACGTCTAGATATTCAGCTCCAACCTCACAATGAACATTGCGTCTCCCACACAGAAGGGGCACACGGTAGCGTAGTTGGTTGAGGCACTATACTACAAGTAGGAAGGTCGCGGGTTCGAGACCCGATGAGGTCATTGCATTTTTCAATTGGCTTAATCCTTCCAGCCGCACTATGGCACTGGGCTCGACTCAGCCTCTAACTGAAATGAGTGGCAGGAATCTTCCTGCGGGTAAAAGTGCGGTCCGTGACCGATTGTCCAGAAAATGTGGGACCCTCGACGTCTTAAACCCTATGGGCCTCCTCGGCCTGTTAGAGGGATAGCTTTCTATCTGTCTGTCTATCTATGGCTCTACAGTCCTTTGTTGGGCTTTCACCACTTTTTCACTTTCTTAATCCCATACACAGTCGGTTGGACTCGTTGGACGGGGGATCAGCCCGTCGCTCGGCCGCTACCTACACACAGAACAACACAAACGCAGAATAAACACAAACATACATCCATGCCTCGCGTGGGATTCGATCTCAGGTTTTGAGCGGGCGAAGACAGTTCATGTCTTAGGCCGCGCGGCCACCGTGATCGGCACTGATTCATTGTCAGTAATTTTAAGTATAAAAAAAGGCGCGCCATAGCTGAAGCGGTTAGTCGCTGGCTTTCCAACGCGGCGGCCCGGGTTCGATCCCGGGTCTGGTTAAGTGGGATTTGTGGTGGACAAAGTGGAGCTGGGGCAGATTTTCTTCGAGTACTTCGGTTTCCCCTGTCAATCTTCATTCCACCAATTGCTCCACGATCACCCTCACCCATCATCTGGGGCTGGTACAATAGGCCAGAAGTGGCCGCAGTACAAGGGACTTAGTCCCACCCCACTAGCAATAAAAAAAATAAGTATAGGATGTTCCCCAACATTGTGTTTCGAACATAGACGTGTCGTACAGTAAACACAGTCCTCACTATTGACGTTCACTTCCTAGGAATTTCTCAGGTACTTTGAAATCTAAACATACATTGTAAGATTTCGGTGAATGAAATTAGTCACTTGGCTTAAAATCCTTTATTCTTTTCGTCAAACAAGACTGAACTGAACCTTGGTGATTTACTGCACGGATTAGTTGCGTTCCATTTCAGCGCAAGCACTTAGGTTGCATTTGAGAACGACGTGCCTGGGTCAACTGAAGAAGTAGGCCCTAATCTTATAGGCTTCTGCGATGTGCCGCCGTGTAGTCTGCCTAGAACGGTAACACCACATCTAGGACGATAGTAATGGTTATATTCACCGTCAGGAAACCCCCACATCGCGAAGTAAAGAAGGGAACGCACTGCTATGAGAGAAGCAGGCAACGTCACGGCCTGCTGCATAGCTGTCACCTGCTCAAGGCGACCTGCAACGGGATTCGTTTCCTTCGACACCCGACCTGAACGGCTCATCAAGCGTACAGAGGAGCCCGGAAGCTGATTTCCTGGGAGGAGCGCGCAGATCGACAGCAGAACTTCATTGTGTTGTGTCCTGCAGAGTTCCCGTCCCGCCTGTCCTGTGTAACTGCTTCGCGGCTCATTTAACGATGCTCTTTCAGCTACAAAGGTTATACAATTCAGAATGGGTGCTAAATCATTACGTAAGGATTGCGAAAGTGAGTGACGGTTAACAATTACTTCTTGCAACCTAGACTCTCATAAGCTGGACTGTGCTGAGATACACACAGAAGACCTGTTAGTCCATTAGAGCTGTGTTACTTCAATTTGTGTCCTGTTTACCAACTCTCCCTCGTACTAATGTTTGGGGGAGTAACATTTGGTAGGGCTAGCGATATTTGAAGTCGGACCGCGATTCCCACAACTGGTAACGGTGTTGCTTCCTTTGTCTGACACACGTCTTCTTGCGCACTCGAAACATGTGCAGATGACGTCACAATACGATCTTTGTGTTACAATGAAATTCGGGCCAAACTACACTCACACGTACCCCACAAACAACTTCCTGTGCAGTACTGTTTATTGAGATGTGACGCCTAGTAGTCTGATATTAGCATACAGGCGTTTCGGGCGAACGCAGTAACTCCATCTTCAGGGTTAAAGATGAAGACAAGTAACCAACAAGAGGCAAGCAGCAAACAGAGGAATGATCTGGTAGATTTTCAGCTTGAGAAGGTCAGGGAAGTAGCAGTGTTCTAACTAGTCGCGAGGTTTCCTTGATGCAAGGTTATAGCACCACCGCTACGATAACCTCCTCAGCCTTAGACCTACATCATAACATCTGTACGTTACGTTCGTGTGTCATAAACAAGGCACACAAAATGTATACAAAAGTGTGCAGTCTACACAACAATATTCTGCATTTAAAACAAAGTAGACATTGTCGTATCAACATTTGTTTTTATTGACGCTGTGTAGACTGCATATTTTATATACATTTTTTTATACGTTACGTGTTATGAAACCACTGCTTCAATTTTGTAATTGTTACCAAGGTCGCATGTTCGATTCCTGATGAAGTCGTTGTACTTGAAGCGCCTCTACTGAAGTATGAATCTGCTTCTCCTTGGAGTCTAGAGAAGGCAATGGTATTGTTCCAGGTAGGAATCTTTGTGTGGGGAGGTGCGGAAACCCAGCGGGCCCTAATGTACGACCCGCACCACCGGGAGCAGCTATGGCGGTTCCTCACTTACATGCTCCTGCATTCCGACTCGCTACACCTGGCGCTCAACATCGCGATCCAGTGCCTTTTGGCGTCGCCTCTTGAGCACGAGCAAGGTCACCTGAGAACCAGTTTGGTCTACCTCGGGGGTGTGCTTGGAGGTAGGTCCAAAGTTGAGGAAATAGTGCCGAAGAGGTTTCAACCTAAGAAGAAGCACCTTGTTACTCCTCTAATGTCATATAAAGATGACAGAGCCGAACGATTAAAGGGACAGACATGTAGCACGCAAAGGCGAATAGATAAACGCAGAGAACCTTTTGGAGACCAAGTAATAGATCGAAAGTTTCTATTAAACGCATCCTAGAAAAGTGGAGTGCGAAGGTGTGGACTAGATATAGGTGGCTTGGGCCAGGGTTCACTGACTTGCTTCTTTTGACACGGTAATGAACCCTCGAGTCAATCTCAGTGGCCGCATGGTCCAAGGAATGAATTGTCTTCGCTCGCTCGAACGCTAGGATCGTGGGTTCGGATTCCACTCGAGGCAAGGCTGTCTGTATTGTGTGCGTTTGTTCTGTGTGTAGGTAGCGGCCTTGCGACGGGCTGATCTCCCGTCCAAGGAGTTCTACTGTCTGTGTATAGATCAAGAAACTGAAAAAGCGGCCAAGACCCAACAAAGGGCTGTAGAGCTTTAATAATATTAATGACGAACCTTCGGGTTGCTGGAAAGAGGAATACTTCTCGACCATCTGAGTAGCTGTGAACTTAATTTATTGGACAGAGAGCCCTTAACGTCGCTTCACTGGGAGTACAGTCGCGTTCCAGGGGAAAGCTACTTTATGCACTGCTGACATAGTGTAGCCACCGTGTTGCTGCCTGTCGCAAATAAAAATATGAATGTACGGTAATTGCAGTTAGGACTTTTAGGATACCTGGTATGGCTTTATGGTTTATTTGAGGGCGCTGTCAGTAGTTCGGACTACATAGCGTTGAATTTGTGAGTAATAACGGAACAGTTTGTGGAAGAAAGTGGTTCTGGCCTAGTCTGATTTACTCTTTCAGTATTTGCCAGGAGAGTCTAAGTAAGAACACGAAAGGTCAGAGTGAGGATAGCCGTTACCTCTCTCGGGTACGAAGCAGGAGGCTAACAAACGATCTACTGTCTGCTTCTGAAGAGAAACGCAAATGAAGTGATGTGGAGAGGAGACGCTTCTGTTGCTCAGCTCAGACACTGCATACTTTTCTATGCGAGCAAATTATCGCAGCGGCAGTTCTTCAGGCTTGCTTTCGGGAGGCCTGCGCCTATCTCGCCCGACATATGACAACAGCGTTTCCATGTTACAGGGTCGCTAGGCACGTCCATGTTGGAGCCCGAGCTGTATGTGATGGGTGCATCAGGCGGTGTGTACGCCCTGCTCATCTCGCAACTTGCCAACATTTTGCTCGTAAGTAAAGGTTTATTTGTCCTCTTTGCTGTCTGGCTCCTTCTCCAACCCTGAAGATGGAGGCGCTATATTTCTCCGAGAAGTCTGTAAACTTCCACCGAACGGTACGGTGTCACGTCCCAGAAGGTATCCTGGGGCTCTGTGCTTTGTTCTGTATAAGGATTCTACTAAATTTGTTTAAAATGCCGAGCCAGCGGATGTTGCCAACAGGAGTTGTCACACAACACTGACATCTCGAACGGAGAAGCGAAATGCCCTAGGAAGTACTGTTTGCTTATTTATCTTCTATTTTTTTTAGTGCATACCTTTGTTCTATCTCTGTGGGCACTTTATGCTCATCCACAAACATCGGTATTCTTACGCGCTACACAGCTCTAGCCCTATCTTCGTATTTCCGACGATGCATGTACGTACATTTATATACTATATATATATTTTTTGCGTGTGTTTTACTTCACAGTTCACGTCTCTCGCTTCCCATAATTCCCAAGCGAGCACGATTTCGCCTTTCTGGAGAAACGCGGTTCAACATTTGATGTAGGCATTCAGTTTCGGTTGTACTTATCAGCTTCGGGCCCACCTTCCGCTATCGAATGTCTGCAGCCCTGAGGTTTTGATAAATCGGTTCTACAAAACCAGAACCAGTTTTCACGGCGTTCAGTCCCGTTCTCGTTTCTTTCGTACGGTGACTGGCTGCTGTGATCCGCAAAATGCCTAACCGCTTTCCGCAGACCAGCTTCCTAATTTCTGTATGCCGTGTTGCAGAACTTCAAGGCGCTGCCGTACAAACTGCATCGCGCTGTGGCTGTCGCTGTGTTGGCTGTGGCGGACATCGCTGCCTCACTCTACCACTACTTCTCTCTGGGCAACGTCTGCCCTCGCATAAGCTGGGCAGCGCACTCTAGTGGCGCAGTGGCCGGATTCCTCCTGGGGCTGGTCTTGTTCAAGGGCTCCAAGAAGCTGGGCCCTGCGGCGGCCCCTGCAGCCGACGAAGAGGAAACCTTTGATTGGGCGCGAGTTGCTGTGTGGGTTGCAGCCACTCTGCTAGGAGCAGCAGTCTCCGCTGCTGTGATATGCAACGTGCTGCTTCCCCCGTCCCCGCAAACTGCACACTGAGAGACTGCACGCGGCTATCAACCGGTGGCCTTTCGCACTCGAAAGGAGATGGACCTTTCATGTAATGAGTCACTTTTACTAACAATTAAAAACTAAAATCTAGATGACTAAATGATTTCTGAAGACCTTTTGCAGGCCTTGTCCACTGTCTTGCCCAAAAAGTGCGAAAGAATAGTGGAATGAAAATTAACTCTACAAGTGCCAAGTATCGATAATTTCAACATTTACAAAAATTGCAATATTTAACAATATGTGACACCTGTTGGAATTCTGTCCGAATTATATAGTCAATAAACATTTCGAGGAAGATTTTCCTCAACGTCTGAATTTCTGCATGGAAGAATGGCAGTTCTGAAAACTTAAAATGGCGGCTTTACGCTATAGCAATTAAAGGTAGTGTATGGAGGGTTGAAGACACGCATCTTCGAAGAGGACTCTCCTCTTGAAAGCAGGACATCAGGTCATGCTCTGTTAAGAAGAACTCACCTGTGCTAAGAGAAAGCCTGTTTCAAACTGACAAATTTCAGGTCCCCTGTGATTCCATTATAAGCAATTTTTACAGAGAGCGATGTAGCACCGGCGTTCTTAGCGTGACCGACATTCTTGCTCAGAATGAAAAGTTGACGTCCCACCCCCGAACTGGTGCAGAGGGCACCGAACGTTTCTCTTCATGAAGTTAATTATTTGCACATGCCAACATCCAGGCAATCTACTGGAGGATTTGTGCTCGGATTGGTTCCACCGGATGTCCGGAGTGGAAATTGATTTTCAGCTGTGTTTTCCTCCACGAAATGAAGCACGAAGCATTAAATCGAGCATTCCAAGTTTATTTATTCCTTGGGGCTGGCTTAAGAGGAACTCTCAGAATTTCGCAAAGCTAAACCCTTTACAGCTGAGGTTAAGATGAGAAATCCGTTATATTTTAACTCATATCAAAAATGGTGTGTTTTTACAATGAGGTTCAGAATAATATAAAATGTTCTGATCCTTTGGCCAATGCGTGGAGACTACATATCTCTAAAATTATTTTTTAATTAATGATTTGTCACATGCGGCGCGTGACTTCCCAAGACACCCATATCCAGTGTGTGAGTTTATGCTGCTTTATGCTGTATGCATTTGAACTGACAATTTTTTGTTGTATAGATATAGTGACTGTCTCGAGAAATTGTCAACATATTACTGCAGATAATGACGACCCAGAACAAGGGAAAGAACTTGTACCGTTCCTAGTCAGGGCACAGTTAGATTTTGATATGATACTGCCATGGTTTAAAACCGAAATAATTACTTTATATTGAAAATATAACATCGGTATATGATTATTATTGTGCAATGAAACAGCTCTGTGCAGAACATTTTGATATGTATTTCAGCTGTGGGCCCTCAGTCACATACGTCACACAATAGACGGAAGTGTGACGCTTACACTTCCGAGAGAAGTCGTACAGTGCATACGTGGCTAAAAATTAACAACACCAAACGGTTGTTAGTTATGTAAGTGATCTGTNGATAGTGGCTTGTTGCTATTGTCATCATATTTTCTTTCAACATTTTTCTGTGTTTTAAAATTCTGAAAATTACAATGTTTCGGAGACCGGACGGTGTTTATGTGACGGGCCATACATGAGGAGGCATTCTTTTCGCACTCTTTCACGTACTGCCTGCAAATGGGGGCGGAGCCAAACTCAGAAACTTTAAAATTCTTATGATTTTCATTTTTAAAACTTAAAAAAACATAGACAGTGCATAATGTGCAAATAAAATGCCCTACCAAAGGGAACTTAATGCTGGACTGCAGTAACACACTTGTGTACTCACGGAAATTACTGCCGTTGGAAGGCAAATGTGAAGGTGAAGCTGTGCCTGTGCTTAACTAATTAAGCACTACGCCATGAAGTTGTGTGGCGGAGTGGATGTATAGATCCACATTCTCTTGACATCGGCACTAGCTGGAGGTGAGTGGTCAGATTCACGCCCCGACCGCTTTATCCCCGGAGAAAGAGCTCCCAGTACCCATTGGATGGGAGGTTGGGTGGACCCCAGAGCCTGTCTGGACTACTTGGAGACCCTACCGGTATTCGAACTCCGAGCGCTCGATCGTCCAGCCCGTAGCCAGTCGCTGTACCGACTGCGCCATCCCGGCCCTTTGGAATATACAAGCAAATTATGGTGTACACGTGTCGATATGTGCAGATGCTGAGAAGTGGAAGCAGAGGGCAGTGATTCAAGCCTCAAGGCGATTCTCTTGACTTGCTACCATAACCGGAAGCTTCCCCCTTCCCATCTTCAGATTCTCAAGGTCAACATTTTGGAAAACTACATGACGATGTATTGTGGGCATTTAAAATTTAAATAAATGACCTTAAAGACCTTAAAATAAAGAATTGTATAAACGAACCCTATTTCACTTTAATATTCCCTGTCTCCCAGGCATTTGTTTACGTTATTTGTGTGAAGAACATAAAATAAATACATAGTGGGGGATTCTGCGTGTCCATCGTTTTATTTCTGCTTCAAAACTATGGATTCATTGTCTGTAAAATTTTGTATGGGTCGTATATGTTAAATAATAGGGAAGAAAACATTGAAATTGTAAGAAAAATGATTTCTAACTCTGTATGGCTCGAATTTCTTCGAAACATTGTAAGTTTGTCACTGTTGGAACCCGAATTACATTTTATCATTAAATGTGTTCACACCTCTGTGTTTTGAACAGGAATCCCTAGATGACGTCCCAGAATTTCCGCCCCAGCGGTAGGACAGTTATAACACCCGTGACAATGATCCGTGCCAAGAGTTGCTTCTTTTTCTAAGGGAGGCAGTCAGAAGACACGTCTATAAGAAATGTTAAGCGTTATTACAACTTTAGCCTAGAATTAGCACACTGGCCGTCGATATGACAGAAACATAATCCTGACAGAGTTGAAGCAATAGTATGAACCACAGCAATGATAATAGTCGTCGTGTTTCATGGTTTAGCACTGGATCTTCCAGCTCAGTCATGTCAGCACAAACCAAAGTGTAATAGTCCAAGTTTGTTTCACGACGCGCATGTAGGGCTGATCGTATCTGAGCTGCAGAACCGCGAGACTGATTTCAGTGAAATCTAACAGCCCAGAATTGTACGGAAAGATTGTTTCATTGTTCCAATTTTCATCTAAATCGGACACGTTCAAGGACACGATGACTCGAATGCATTCGGCTCATATCTCGGAGAGAATAATGTTTCGAACCGAAGTTATAGAGAAAAATACAAGAGTTTGGTTTAATGACTCGTGTTATTTTTTGCTCGTTTCGTTGCGTTGGAAATGTTTCATTTCTTAACTAATTCCTTGTTTAAGGCTTTGCTGTTGCTGTGCGCGGCTGCAGGTCTTCCTACAATACACACAATAACGGATTCACATTTGATGTAGTTCTCCATATGTCTTACGGTTCAAGATAACTAAACAGAATGGATGTTATGAGCATATTTTCGAACTTCACGTTCAACAATCAACCATGGCCTCCAGAATACAATCACGGTTAAGAAAAATAAATAAATAAAGAACGTTTTTATTGACCATAGACTTTGATAAAATTTTATTTTAGTTCGTATGATGTGATGCCGTTCCACAATGAGATTTTGAATCATGTGTTAAAGAATTATGTATGGCGACTTCTATCTTCTGCGATATAACCCCGTGTAGTTCGATTAAAATACATATGCGTGTTATATATATATTATTATATATATTATATATTCAAATTGGATTCAAACCAAGAAATAGGCCTCTCAAAAGGGCGGTTTAAAGTCTGGATCAATGAAAGTGTCGTTAAACAAGCAATAAATACAATTAATGAATATAAACAGACCGCATTTAACATACAGTTTCTGTGGGCATTAAATGTTAGTTTGTCTCTCGCTACCGAACCGGCACTTCTGAGTACTAAGGTTAGAGACAAGACTGCCGTGGAGAGTGACAGTAATTCAAAATATAGGAGTAAAATGACAATCAAGCACGGATAGAGTCCTGTATTTCGGTTATACCTCGGAGAGCGGTCAGCGTTCAACTTGTCGGCAAAAAGGCCTAGGGGACTGTCAGGCCGTCGTCTCTTTGCAGCAAGCCTTCATGTTTTCTAGCCGGCCATCCACCTTTCCTTGGTTCACATCAGGGTGGGAGGCGAGACAGCCCGTCTGGGTTTGCGGGTCGCCCATTGTTTCTTCTTTCACGTGTTCCTGGCCGGCTCTCGTTTCCCTTAAGTTGGCGTCGGCTTTTTCTTGCATGGCCTCTGTCCTGCTTTGGTGGATATCCATCCGGGAGACGAGAGTACTTCTGAGGACCCCAAACTTCTGGTTTGTGGCCTCTATCTTAATCTTCAATCAAAAATTCGAACAATCCAGTTTCACTTCTGACACCAGTTGTCACGTGATGGGGTGACACTAGATGGAGTTTGGATGGGTAATTTGATTTATTGAACACTTATACATAAAGCTCGTAACTACAAGTAATTGCAGCGCTGTCGCTAATTCGCAAGCCCTGTAGTTCACTACAGCACGCACTAAGCCTTCTGAGTCTGCTGGACGTTCCCCTGCTCCCGAGCTCACGTCTACGCAGGCTGGCGGCTATCTCACACCAACCTCCTACTTCTCTAACTGCCGTCTCAACACTCCAGACTCTCAGTGGCAGGTGTCCCCCGTTATATTGAGCCGAATCCGATCGCACAGAGAATGCCGCTTGCAATAGTTACTCCATTATTACGTATTACACAGCCGTTACCTAGCAATGGCTATTTCTCGGTCTGTAATAGTCTCCAACGCTATGATACGAATATTATTGCCCGGGATCCCCCTTTTACCCCCCCCCCCGACAATAATTTGGAATCACTCTGTATAACTGCTACTTCACCATCACTCCAAAAGACGGTTGTCGTTCCAGTAGTGACTATTGTGGACTCCACAAAGCGAGAACTGCAACGGATTCCGGTTCCAGTGGGTTACAGAAGCCAGTGTGGCAATATCAGATCCGATAAATGCCTTCCACATTTGTAAGTGGCCATATTTTCGTTCCAAATTCAATTAGCAAGAAATGCACTCAGAAGCCAACGATCTCCGACAATTAACGTTCAAAACAAGCTGAAACATCTAAAATAAATGTCACAATTTTTGTTCTCACAGACGTAAACATGATATGGAGCCAGGATATCTTTTTGTGTATTTATACAAGAAGATTTACCCGTCAAAGATATCGCCCGAGTATTACTCGTTTGAGTTTGTACCGTAACGTCACTCGCGCGTGATCAGAAACTCAGTTTCACCTGCTTGACATCTCAAATTGGAATCAATTTGATGTTTCGGAACTATGAGTTACAAAATAAGAGATTAACAATTTAAAATTTGGAAAAGCGTTCGGTATTTACAAAAGATATATAGGCCACATTTTAGAACTACTTTTACGCTTTACACTAACCTATGGTCAAAATAGTTATCGCATGTACCAGACTGCAAGGTCCCGTGATCCAGAAGAGTATGCTTAAACTTAACAATTGAGAAAATATCAAATATCATCTTTGTATAATATAACGACAATATTTACAGGCTGGAGAGCGTTATACATACGAACATTTTTGTCGTTTGGTGATGAATATGTAAATGTTTCTTGCTATTTACAATGTTATTGTTTCAGTTTTATAAACCATTGAAATACTTGTATGTTGTTTATAATGATGTCCCCGTGCAAGGAATGCTCTTTATGCATATGAGATACTGTTTATATTTGTTAGTGCAAGACTCTGAAATTAATTTTATAAGAATCAAATTAATGAGTAGCAAAGTCCATGAATTTCTTGTTGCATGAGTATATGGATCCAGTAACGGCCGTATTTCTTACGTGTGCTGTTGGTATATGAATATCTTTCATGATTGGCCGTATGTTTGTGCTCAAATACAATACAGGAACTACTCAATTCTGTTTCTTTGTTATTTAGAACAGTTAACAAGAAAGAGTATTGATCCTCATACCTGTAATGTTGTGTGTTCCGTAGGGTCGTGTTAGTCGGTGCGTGTGTTGCAACGAACCGGTGTACTGTGATAGGTGTGGGTTTGTGAGTACCTTGAACGCTCTTGAATGCGCGTGCGTGGTTCATATAAGGGTGTGTCTATGTAGTCTACAACTACATCGAATAAGACTCTTTTATGATTTTCTTCCGCTTCTTGTTCGTCTGTTAGCTTACTGTAACCTTTATACGAATAATGGCCATCCTGGAGAACATAAAATGGCCACGTTCAAAAACCGGTTCCATAGGTTACATAAATTACCAATAAATAATACAATTAAAATAAGGAATTAAATACCATTATAAACACCACCGAAAACAACGGTTATATAAAGGAACAAATAACAAACTTATACAATAAGGTAAAAGAAAAACAAAAATGGGTAACATTTACATGCTAGGGGAAGTACATCTGCGCAATCACAAATCCATTAAAAACACGAATGTAAAATAGCCTTAAAAATAACAAACAGAATCGGGAACATAACCTGAAAGACATTAGCACCAATAAACATGATCACACTAGCATATACAAAGTAGCATGCTTAGACTGCCAACAATCATACATTGGTCAGACAGGATAGTCCCCAATAGTCGCAATCAAAGAACACATACAAAACATAAGAACACATAGGAATGATTGAGGACTTGCTACCCGTACAGCGAGAAACATACACAGGATATTATCGGTAAATCGATCGTGTAAGAAGGGGCCGGTTAATGAGCATAAAGGGAAAATTTATGTATTTATTTGTATAAACGTAACAACAGACAAGCAAAAGATCGAGGAAAATAATCACAGAAATCTCTTATTCGATACAACTATAGAACACATAGACCCACCGTTATGGAATCACGCATGCGCATTCAGGGTACTCACAAGTCCACATGGTTTTGCTACTACATATCCCACCGACTACCACAGTCGTTCAGAACACACAACATTACAGATATGGCAATCAGTAATGTTTCTTCATTAACTCGTTGTAAGTAATAAAGATACAGAATCCAGAAGTCCCTATATTATGTTTGGGCACGAACATAATGCCAATTACGCAAGATATTTCATACAAGAATATCAACAGAAGAACATAGGCAGTCACTTGATTCACTCACACATACATACAGTAAGAATTAATTGTACTGATATTGTGTATCATTTTAAGGTAACTTACTTTAATTACATTATTATGTTTGACTTGATTTAGGATGGTAGAAATCCCTTTATGACATATGCTCATCATATATTGCCTTCTGATGATGGCGAGTAGTGGCCGAAATATGCAAATGCTTTATTACATATTAAATGTTTGCACTTCATGAAACTTCCTACTCACTAATTTCTATGAAATTGAATTCTTCTGAGGATCTTAATTTAAGAACATTGTAAAATATTATTAAGACACTTTGGAAAGGTTCTGCCAGTGTGTTTGAATGTTATGTTATGTAAATCATAGTACTTAAACTCTCAATAAACTTGTTATTCGCAGCGTAATCATTGCAACAAATGTTCGCCGTCATTTGTTCTTTCCCAGGGTGCAACATCTGCTTCAGCATTTGTAAGATCCTCATTCAAATAATAGACTGCACTTTAAAATGAAATGGTTAAGTTATATGCTCCAACGAAACCAGTCTTCACTTAGTACTCTCTGAGTCGCAGGAACCGGGATACCGTAATCGGTATAGCGACTGGCTACGGGCTGGACGACCGAGGGGTCCGGTAAGGTCAAGGGTTTTCTCCATGTCGTCCAGACCAGCTCTGGTGTACACCCAACCTCCTATTCAATGGGTACCGGGGGCTCTTTCTCCAGGGGTAAAGCGGCCGGGGCCTAAAGCTGACCATTCACCTCCAGCTAGTGCCGTGGTCAAGAAAATGTGGATCTGTACATCCATTCCCCCATACGCATTCATGGCGTAATGCTATATTAGTTAAGCACAGGGACTTCACCTTTTACTCTGGCGGATTCTGGGCATAGTAGGATCTTGTGTCTCTTTTAAAGCAGAGACCTTCCGAGTACAGTTTAATGCCAATAGAATGGCGATTTATATGTAAAGAGCGAGTAGGATATGAAAACCTTGCCGGTTAGAAAACGGTTCTAAACACATAACAGTTTATACATTGACACCAGACGTTTGTGTGTGTGACGCGCAAAACTCATACAAGCATTTGCCCGCTGCATTTTCAAGATATCTGGAGTGAATACGTAGGAACCTACTAAAACACAGTCCGTAAGTTATTCGGATGCAGCTTTGGAACATTTAAGCACACCGAAGAGATGCCTGCAGGGGGGAGGGAGGGAGGGAGGGGGGGGCAGGTACCCGCACGGCCTTGACCACAGCAATTTTATTTTTGTTGCACCGATGCGATTAATCAGGATTATCAGTAACCCTGAATATTATTCACCCTTCAGAATCTCCCTGATGCAATTAGTTTTATAAAAAGGGACACGAGCCATGTGCAAGTAGAGGCTTGGAATGCAACGAGTACGCCCTTGTGACACAGGTTGCAGAAGTTCAAACGGCAGCAGGAGAGCGCTCTCAACTCGTCACTCTTCTGTTCTGAAGCAGCTGTCTCCTCCCAAGTGTTGGTAACTACCAAATAACACGGGGCTACAATAGTCATCATGTCGTTGAAACATTGTCCGGATAAGGCGCAAAAATGACTGGGAAGTGTTACTTGCAGATGTCGTCGGCCTTCTTGTGAGTTTACACGTAGTTGCAACTTCGTGCTTGGCGGCTGTGTCGCTGCGGATACAGAGGCCTGCACGTAGTGTCAAGATTACACCTCCATATTTGCTTCATATGCTTAGTTGTAGGAAGAACTTCATGACTTTCATAGCTAGAAATATTCTGGTTTACAGCTCCCCAATTACGTAGTTGGTTCTGGAATTCAAGTGGGATTCTGTGATCATCATCGCGTAACCATGCAAGCTTTCTGCTTCGTTGCACTTTACTTACTCAGTCTCTTCGTAGGGCTCGTGTTAGAGGTCTAGAGGTCTATATCCTATTCCAAGTGTTAAGATATTCCATGAGACTCCTGACATAGGAAATGGTCCATCGCGAGGTGTCCGACAGAAGATGTGGCTGAAAAACAGGGGCATACAACCATCTTCCAAGTGGGATTCGAAATCATGATCCACATGTTGAAGTTGTCCTAGACCGGTTTCTATGATCGACTACTATATCGCCCTGTTAAAAAACGTCATACAAGAAAGGGCAAACGTTAAAATGTTCTATTAAAAAATTTAAGTCGAATATCATGGAATACAATAAAAAAGTTATTATTCACCAAAAATTCTTCGCTTATCTTCACTTCATACATTATAATAATTATCTTACATAACTACTAATGACAAGGCTGTGAGTGAGAGGTATATAGTCTTACATAACAACATAAAGCATTAGCTACACAATTCACACCACGCCATTTTGGCATTGGAACATATTTTACAAAATTTAAGTACATTTCTCTCATGAATGGTTTAAAATCTCTTATTTGTGGCGCACATGATGTATTAAATATGGCGTCGAAACTGTGTATGCGTACAATATTGCGATATGACACCGAGTCTATTTTAATGTAAGATCATAAAATAAAACTTATTTCATTGACAGACATCAGAGATAAAATGGGTGAGAACCCACCCCAGCCTCTGTCGGCACTATTCTTTGGGCCCTAACCTTACCATCATAATGAACAATGAAAAAATACACTTACTGTAAAATAAATTATAATATTAATTATATTCATTCTCAAATATAACAAACATAACTTAACACTAACCGTCACTTTGAAATGTGAAACACATTGAGGTTCATGGAACTAACCTACATTGTCATGTCAGAGATCTTCTCCCCTCTCCATGCACATTGCTGCCTCTTCGGAGCGGCAGGAAGATACGTGCAGCATATAACACGTGTTTACAAAGGGTTCATCATAAATTACGCATTAAACTACAACTGCACTCTGACCCTAATGTTTGTTAGCGTACAGCCAGCTTTGTGACAGAGGGCGACGGTGCGGTGTTGTCTATGGGCATGAAAATTGGCAAGTTATGCCCAAAATGCTTTTCTTTTTCGAATTGAAGAGTTCTTTCCCTGCTTGTTTTTCATACGTTCTTTTCCCAAGATGTATAAAATGAGCTCTTATTGGGGAGGTCTATATATCTGTCCGCATATATTGTCTCCGAAACTACTGATCAGATTTCGAATAAATTTGGGCGATGATTGGTTTACTGTAAAATTTCATGGGTAGGCTTATTTTTTCTTTGTGCCAATTAAATGTTAATACACTACACGTATATAAAGATTAGGTAGAATTGCATTGATTTCTTTTAGAAAATGTTCACTGCATAAAGACACTGTACAAGACATAACTCTTGTTTGAAATACGAACATTAAACAAAATACAAGCAAAATTAATTACCTGCAATTTGTTTTATCTTAAAAACAAGGAAACTATTTGTTATTTTTTTTCCTTTCTGTTGCTGAACAATATACCTAGGCTATGTAAAGGGTAATATTGTTCCTAAAATTCAACTAAATTGTACTGAAACCCAATATAAGTTAATGTAGTTCAGTACATTTAAACTGTGTAGAGCAAAAACTTTTTGTGTTTAATATACAAAGTTTTCAGTAACATTAATTTAATTTAAATTGCACCCACATAACGTTCTGGTTTTACATACAGCACCATCTGACTTTCTCTCCCATCTAGGGGATTCCCAGACTTGCGATGTTTGTGCAGAACAATGGTGCAGGTAGCTTATTTAACAATTAAGGGCACATGTTAACCCAAAACTGACCAAATGTAGAGGCACAATATTTACCCTTTAAATAATATAGTATATACATATACACACACACACACGAGTATATACTGGTTATTCAACATTCATGTATTATATCGTGTGAATTGTGGTCGCATAAACAAGCTAAGACGTAAAAACAAGAAAAATTACGTTAGAAATTTCCACCAATTTCGGAGACAATCTATAAACAATATATATTGATGACAATAAATATTGAAATATATGAAAATGATAAGTTTTCCCCGCTACAGTAATTTCATTATCGGTAAATCAAAATTAAAATCAGTGAGGTATGTATTTCACTTTTTCACTCGTTTCATTGTACTATTGAAATCACCATGACGACAACCAGAACTGATTTGAACTGGCCTTCTGATTCAGTTTTAACCCACATTTTCGCAATGGCGATTTTCACAGATTATTCTGAACAGAGCGAGTCTAGGCATCAGGATAGGAAACGCAGAACACGACAACTCTGCGTAAGGCAGTTCTAAACTCAAGTAAAAATGAAAATCATTTTTCTCAAGACCCTCTACCAACATGTTCACAGGCCCTATGATAAAAAAGTCTTGGTAAATTAACAGGAATAATTACTTCTTTTAGAAAAAATCTGACCAGGAGAACAAAGTTTGTGAAAAAATGTTTCCACAATATTCTTAGAGGTTTTACTGCCCTAGGTCCGCGACAGTTGGGGTTTAAATGCGTAAGCTGCTGTTCAAAATACAAACAATTTCATATAAAAAGTGGGAAGGAAAAATATTAGATGCAGACTGGGGCAAAAAACTGCATCTTCCTTCAGTCAGAAGGTGGAATTTCATTGTTAAATGTGAGAAACACGTTTCGAAGCAATACGATCGTCAATCGATTGTTGTAATACGTAGAGTTTTCATATAACAGTATTGTGGCGTGCGGACGTCCATTCCTAGACAACGTCTTGTTAAAACACGTTTCCGAGACAGCGCATACAGAGAAGACCGTTGTTAGACAACGGCTCAGTAGCTATTTTTCCCATAAAAGGAACAGTGGATACATCGTTGCCTACGCGGCAACTGTAAACATGTAAACACTACAACGCGTACACTGGCAGATGTTACCACGGGAAGCAAAGCCAGAGCCACTGCAGCTCCTGCTGCGACGGATGCACAAGCTAACACGGGAAACGAAACCCTTCAAGAAGGCGTTTTCCAGTCCGTCCGACTGTAGAAGGAACACAGGACAAATGACATCAGAGAAGACCGGAGGAGAACTGAGAACAAGAGAGATCAGAAGAAACTAGCTCGACCAAGAATCAGAAGACGAAACATGAGAGACGACGAACTAGTCGGGTCGCATCGTCTGTAAGAAGTTATTTCATAGTGCTTGTAATCGTAATTGCCGACTTATCCACTAAACAGCTTCACCTAATCCGCAACCGATTAATTTATTGTCACGGAACCCCGGACACGTGACAGTATCTTATTGAAAGTGTAATTTAATTCCTGAATGACGTAACGTTCTTGAAGCAGCTTGAAAGAATGCGGTATTGTATCTTACGCTTGCAACAATTGGTGGCAGCACGGTCTTGAGCGAAAGAGTACGCTTAGTCGCCATTTTTTAAAGATGGCCATTCGGAAATCCATTTAAATTAACTGTGGCCCATCTTCGTCTTCTATTCCTTCTAAGAAAATTCAGAATTGCGAAAGCTCACTAGTTGCTTCGTATTCCAGCACTGCATGCTATAGTGAGTCTGCGTCATGTCACTGGGAAATTGACTCCAATCATTACTGCCCTTAAGAGTGCTTCACTGCTTCATTATGGAAAGAAAACTGGATATCAGTGTGATGACTGCATACGCATAATACTGGGGTGAAATTTAAGAGCAAAGCAGAAGTACGTGCCAGAGACAGAGCTGACAGAACTCGAGTAACAAGATGCTTGTTTCTGAACTTCTGTTGCGTCTGGAAGGCGCAAGGTGAACAGTGTCCATCGCATTTGCTGATGCGAGTAAGTCCAGTCTGCGAGGGTGCGTGATGCCCTGTAGTGAAGAGAAGAAGAGGAAAGCAACTACAAACATGTCAAGCTATCACTGAAAGCCTGGGATAATTTCAGTGCAAAAATGGCGACTTGGCGAACTGTAAGCCAAAATTCCAATCGTGTATCTGTCCGAAACCTACTTGAATCAATAAATAATTTTGAAGACAAGTGATCTAGCTGTTCCCAGTTTTGTGGGCACGTTGAAGATACGAGGATGAGTTTAGTTACCCTATGGGGCTACGTGCTACATACACAGCCTATGTGTGTATGTATCACGTAGGGCCAAATGCTCAAAGTTCCGTAAATTATGACAAAAAGAAAATAAAGTTTGTTATTTTCTTCATACTGACTGCACACTTGCTGAAGTCCCTAAACAAAGAACACTTGGTTCCTAACAGCTTCACTCTGTGATCTTGCAGGTTATAGGGTCGTGTAGTCTGCTAGGAGCATACCAACATTTCAAATGAACATACTTCATCCATCTTCTGGGCACACACCATCTGAAGATGGAGGTAATACGTTCCTACGAAACGTTGCAACTAGAGTACAATGTGTCATAACTCGTAAGACCACAACACTGATTTTCATCGCCGCAGAAACAACAAATACCGTTTTTACAACGTGCATGAAAACGATTCTTTGTGTTATAATCACCTAAGTTAAAAAAAATGGAATTGCTCTCACTACTCTTGCATCATACATTACTCTCTGACCAAAGATTCACGCAGCACAAGCAATTTGAAAGATTCAATCTTTTGTCCACTAAACGAACCACTGAAGCCCCGAAATTCTGCTCAGTAATTCCACTCTATCTGCAGCGTTCAGTGAAGGGCATATTCAATAATAATGTTTTGCAATCATCGCTTCTTGGTTTATACACGTGGTTGCTTTTCTCAAAGGCTGATGTGAATCACAGGGACTTCAGTCTGAAAGGGCATATAACTGACATGGGCTCTATGCATACAGCAAGAGGTACAGCTGTGGCAGAAGAAAAATCAGCATTTAGCTAGTTATACCTGTGTGAAAGTTCGAATATAAAGAGGACAGCACTGCTTTTCTTCAGGCATTACGGTACTGCTTTCATTTCATACCTCCATTATATACGTATTTCTTCTTGCCTCTAATTTCTGTCACTTTTTGTTTACTGTGAAATAAACAGATCGCTTTCAAAACTATTACGGCAGCTGGACACTTAAACTGTTCCAGACACAAAAGAATGAATGGACTCTCATCACCAGAAAATATCACTGCTCCGAAGCTGTGAGGTCGGTGGAAGCAACTGGTGACCTAGATATCTGGAAATAGGTGTAACACTCACAAGCGAAGAAAACTAAAATTGGCTCCTGTCGCAGAACAACTGGGCAATGTTTAGCAGCAATGACCTGGGCCCAGTGTACAAATGTCTCTGGAAAAATACTACAACATACTCATAGCCTCCTTTGTGAGTTTAAAGCTCTATCTCTGATACTATAATACAATGAAAACAACTCAACAAAAACACATTCAGTGGTTCCCAACATCTTCAAAATTGTGGAATTATGGGAATGCAGAAATTATGACTCATGTTATCATGCGTCCATTTCAGCAACTAAGGATTGCAAATTAATGTCTTGAGAACGTGCGGTATTATTTACAGTCATTAAAAATATTTTTTTCTTGGATTTTTCTCTTTGGGTTCTGTTCTATTCTGAAGCAGAATATAAATAGGCTTGGAGATCTCAAGTGCTCACGGCGGTGGATATGAAGACACCGTGTGATCTGGTAGATAGTTATCAAGGTTTCGGAGGAATATGCTGCCTCCATCTTCACTTAGAAGAATCCCATTCTCGTAACTTTAATACGGGCGCGACCCTTCTACCCTAAGGCCCAGGTAGAAGGTTCCTTAACGGTCTGCGTGATGCCACATTCCAGCGGATACCAACCTTCAAGTGGCTTGTTTCAACCTATAATTTTGTACAGTGGGAGAAAGGTGAGCGGAAGTAATATTTAACAATAACCTCAGAGATGTTTAAAGGTGTCTGCAATGTCCATGGTACTCAGCAAATGCCGTTTCAAGATAAATTGACATTTTCTGCGGGTCCGGTTGGAAACCACCATCATAGCATCATCAACAGCTCAGCGGTCGACACTGTACTCCCACTTCTGTACACATGCACTCCAGACAGGGCCCGGACAGTTCCGAAATGATTCTTCCTACCCGGTACATGCGGCCATAGATGTTGCAACCTGCGAGTTTCAGAAGACCAGACGCTGCCCCTGGGTCAGCCGACAGTGGCGCTCGCAACTGAGGGTGTTGAAGGATCGGGGATTGACTGCTTGCAGTTGGGTTGACGTTCGAAACCGTCGTTAACACCGCGTGTGGTTTTGTGCTGAGTTTTTCACTGGCAGCAGCTGAATTTGTCGTAACATTCTGAGCATTTTCAGTGTTCGAAGTTGTACTTGCTTGTGTTGTCGTACTCTCGGGTTTATTTTTGTCGTCATCCTCGTCACTCGAATTCTGAGAAGCGGGTGTTGCGGGCGTGTTGTGTGACGTACTACTGCCACTGCCGCCAAAGTGGTGTGATGTTGCGCGAGAGGGTGGCCTGGTGGTGTCGTCATTATAAAGGAGAAACTGTAGAACGCTGTCAAAAGAAATACCCGAATCTTCATCTTTGTCTTCTTCAGTGTCAAGATCATCATCAGCTTCTACGTCGAGGGGTGCCTGTTCCTCCGGTTGTCCTCTGTTGCTGTTACTGTCTTCCTCGAAGAGATCTGGTGTGAGAGGAACATTCCTATCAGTTGGTGTTGATATGTGTGTGAAGGTTATGGGGGCACTTGTAGTCTTTCTCTCTTGGGGGGGTGTGGTGAAGGATCTAGAGATTGTTGTGCTAATGGGGGCAGTGCTGATGCTAGTATGTCGTTCCAGTAGGTACGGCATCATGTCCTCAATGAGAGACGGTAGGTCTGGGGCTGGCTCTGTCCGGATGACATCTCTGAAGGGGTCTGGAGTTACGACGCCTTCCGCTACGGTGATGGGAGGCACGATGGCGCCAAGATGAAGCGGGCTCGGAGTTCCATCCATCCGGTCCAGCACTACTGTGGGTGACTCAGCATCGTCTGGAAAATAAACTGCTAGTGTTAGTTGTTGCACACCGTCATGCAGTTCGTAGCTCGTGACCTCTGTTAGTCTTACTTCTAACTTGGATGAGAATATTTGTTCTTTTCACCCCTCACGAGTCACGTCGGATGTCACAGAACTCTCGCAAGAGTTTCTCGTGGTTGAATCTGAGAGCGCACGCAAGCACCCGCAGCGCTGTGAGGCCTCTCACCCTAAAGTGAGAGTCGCCCTCTTGTGACGGAAGGTGTTTTGTTTTCTAAATAAGACTTCCGAATGGAGAGAAGTTGTGCCATTGCGTTGGTTCAGGTGTTCAAGTAATATTAAGGTCATGAGCTAGGCAGCGCCATGGCTCAAGCGGTTAGTCGCCGGCTTCCCACCGCGGCGGCCCGGGTTCGATCTTGGGTCTGGTCAAGTGGGATTTGTGGTGGACAAAGTGGCGCTGGGGCAGGTTTTCTCCAGTACTTCGGTTTCCCCTGCCAATCTTCATTCCACCAATTGCTCCACAATCACCCTCACCTATCATCTGGGGCTGGCACAATACAGAAGTGGCCGCAGTACAAGGGACTTAGTCCCGCCCCACTAGCAATAACAAATTTACCGTACGGTTTCGCATCTCCATGAAGATTCTAAGACACAGCTGAACCAACTATCCGCATACGCCTCTCTTAATTTCGGTCGCCATGAACAATAAAATAACCTAATTATGGCGGATCATTAGTCGACTCGAAAATACTAAGTAAACAGAAATATTCCTGTATGACATAAATAAAATTCCATTGAGAAATGTCCCATCACCCCCCGCCCCATCTGTTTAATTTCTTGGGGTAGGGTGGCGCGGAGCCCACTACTGGGCCTATAGCCCCTGTCGATGAGGGAAGACGAACGTGGAGCCGTGTACAAAATGATACCTGGCTAGGGAACCAAAGTAATAGGAAGATCGAGCCCGGGCCGCCGAAATTCAAAGTCGGCACTCATCTGCCTGTACATATGGATATAGAAATTTTACAATGTGTTTCACTTCACACTGGCCAGTGTTCACATGTGTCAGGCGTCTGTAAGTACGTTAGTGCAATACCCCTAAGCTTATCTCACTTGTAATGCTGCGTTTGTGGAGAGTGTGTGCGTGGAACTAGCTCTGTGAGGTATGCCTCGTCCATGGCACAGCCCAATGTCCTTTTTCATTATCGTATGCATATAGTAGAATGCGTAACTGGTAAGGTTTTAATCTATCCCTCACGACTGCAAAGAGCTTGAACAATGCCGTCCTCTGGGATTTGGCGTCGTGTAGATCCTGTGTGAACCGACGTTTCAAAGGAATGTATCGTCTCCTTCTTCAGCGTAGAAAAATCCGCTGCAGCCACCTGCTCAAGCATATTCCTCGTTCGCAGATTTTCTACCCTGAAGATGATGATATGTTCCTCCGAAACGTCGGTTTACAGAAGATCTACACGGCGTCAAATCCCAGAAGACGGCATTCTTCATAGTCACCGCCTTGGAAACCTCAATCTTGCATGCTAAGAACTTCTCCACTGATATGATCAACATCATTATACTTTGCTTGAACTGCTTTGCTAGCGGAATGTGCATTCCAGCAGTCAACTACACACACGCTCTCTCCATTACGTTGTTCTCGGGTAGTAACAATATCATTGCCTAAGCACGCCTGCGATAACTCGCCACACATTACGAGAGACATCTCAAATTTACTTTTTATTCTAAATATTTCCATATATTTTGGCAACAAATCACATTTTAACTCCTAGGACCCTATAATTCTATCGTTTTTATTATAAAACCGATAAGGTGACACCGGATAACATAGCATAAAACATTTAAACTATTGAAAACATTAAAATTATGTAAGATAATTAATACTGTCACTTGTAGGGGTGACTATTGACGGGGTTTTAGATTTGGATATTGGATTTACTGCCCACTTACAGGTCGTAACTACGAATAACCATAACACTGCCGCCGATTTCCACACTTTACAAATTACTTCTCCGGCCTGCAGTGTCTGCATTAGTCGTTTCCTGGAAACGGATTTTAACAATGAAGATTCTTCAGCTTCGGGCGTTCAAGTTCTCTCTTCACGGACTCCCACACAGAACTCACTTGGTCGCCCCAGTTATCTTCCTTATAACTCCTCAGCACGGACTCCCACACAGAACTCACTTGGTCGCCCCAGTTATCTTCCTTATAACTCCTCAGCACGGACTCCCACACAGAACTCACTTGGTCGCCCCGGTTATCTTCCTTATAACTCCTCAGCACGGACTCCCACACAGAACTCACTTGGTCGCCCCAGTTATCTTCCTTATAACTCCTCAGCACGGACTACGTAGAAACCTCCGCTTCCAACAGTATCTCTATTGTTGTGCGTCGATTCGTTGCCGCAGATACGTGTTTGCCGAGCCGTTGCCAAGAAACTGCCGGGTATATCGGCCCAACTCGCGGTCGTTGGGTAGCAACAGTTGTACACGCTACATTACGATTTACTATTTTAGCCATGTGAGAAGTGTCACACGTCGTTAGCCCGAGTCGTAAGTCCGAAAATTCTTAGTTTCAAGTCTCATGAGTGTTACATTAAAGCGATCTTATGTCGGGAAGCCTTGCGCTGGGGTACTGCTACGCTACGCTGAATCTAAGAGCATTCTGGCTAAGCGGCGTAATATTCAACATATGAAAGTTTCATAATTATAACACTGTATTGCACCCATAAGAGAACGGATAATACAATGAGGAACTTTTATGATTTATGTAGTGTATATAGTAGTTAATATAATTAGAGGTAAGAGGTAAAGTTGTCCCTGTGCTTAATTAGCATCGGGACATGAAGTTATAAGGGGGGAGTTGGTGTATGCGTTCACATATTAACTTCGGGAGTAGACTGACCACTTTATCCCCGGATAATAAGGTTCCGTAGTCCATTGCAGAGGAGAGTGGGTGGGTTCCAGGACCAGTTTGGATGCTGAAGATAAGAGAAGAAGAGAAGGAGAGAAGAGAGAAGAGAAGAGAAGAGAAGAGAGGAGAAGAGAGGAGAGGAGAGGAGAGAAGAGAAGAGAAGAGGAGAGAAGAGGAGAGAAAGAGAGAGGAGAGAAGAGAAGAGGAGAGAAAGAGAGAGGAGAGGAGAGGAGAGAAGAGAAGAGGTCTTTGGGCGTGCCAGCAATTGAACCTAGATTGATCAGTCGACCAGTAAACACTATGGTCTCTGCACCGACTGGGGAAAACAGCTGGGGCGTACAGAATTAATATCTTGCGGGAAAGATCTTGAAAAGGAGCAACACGTTCGGAAGACCGGGAGGGACTCTACCGTACCGCAGACGACTAGCCCGCAGCAGACGCCGTGTTCCTTCTCCTTGAGACGGCGACACCCGGTCTTGACATGCGGACACTTTTCTTCCTGACACAACACCTCGCCGTAGTAGCACAGGCACATGACGCATGCGCCGGCCTCCGAAATCAGCTCTCCATTTCGGAACTCACGACCATCGGAAATGCAGTGCTCTGCAACAGCATCGGTATACGAGTATATTGTCCCAAGGCATAAAACCTCTAAAACATTAATTTTTATAACTAGAATATTCATATACTGGAATAACCAATTCCTGGAACCTCAACGTTCACAAACAGATGTCGAATTACAGGATATTAATACCTACCAACAAAAATATCCCAGGAATATACCAAAAATATCCACGACACTCCAAATAAAATTATGTCCGAAGACCTATATTAAAAACATTCAGAATATTAAAATACAGTAATTTCTATGTACTTCAACGGTAAATAACTTTCCTCTGAGTGTTCAGATTAGTAAACATCGAAGTCGTTGAATATAATACGGTATTTTGAGTTAATATAGGAGACATTTATGGCTACAAGGAATTCTTTTTTATTGGTTTGCGGTTTTAAAAGTTGCAGATGCAGACAAAGTATTTAAGATCAACCTTAAACATATTAATTTTTATCGCGAACTGTTGTTAGGTAAAGATGCAGTTGTTCCTAAGCAAGCACTACGCTACGAAGACGTGTGAGAAAGTGGATATATAGAGCCACTTATTCTTGACTTCGGCAACAGTTGGAGTTGAGTGGTCAGCTTCACGCCCCGGCCGCTTGACCACCGAGGAATAAGCCTCCTGTATCCACTGGATAGGAAGCTGGGTGGGCCCCAGAACCAGTTTGGACGGAAGGAAGGGGAGAACAATATTGCCCCTACCGGGACTCGAACTCCGACTCCTCGGCCGCCAGCCGTAGCCACTCGCTATCACATATTATCGTACTTAGATAGTACAGGGAGTTTCTAAATTATTGTGTGGCTTTCTGTGGCCTATAATTTTCAAATCGGAAACAACAAAATAAAACTGCTTACGGAATATGAAAATGTAACTCAAAAAGTTGTATCGCCTATAGAATCACTACTGCAGAATGCGCGCCTTTCGTGGCGCGTAAGAGGACCGACCGGTGTTCGTACAGGTTTGAAATTTATAGGGCACGGAAACCCCGACAATAATTTAGAATCACTCTGTATATTAGAATGATAAGTTGAACGTCCAACAAGTTTCTAAACTGCTTAGGTAATTGTATTCAGTCTCAAACACTCAACATTTGATATAATTTGCATTACACAACTGTCACGGTTATTCGCGCAGTTCATTCGATCTGCAACGGGTTTCGGGTGTCCAATACAGCTGCTTTCAGTGTCAAGAAATTACCAAGCTAGCACACACTATGTTGATATCGAATATTTCCTCCTAATACCATACTGCATCGATTATCTAAGAGTTGGGATTCATACTAAACGCACAAAGCTACAATTTCGGAAAAAAAATGTTCAAGGTCTAATTGCCGGCAAGGTGCTGAAGGAATTCGATACGACCACAAAATAATTTTACACAGATATGTGGAGGAACGTTCACGGACGTTTTAATGATATAGTATAAATAATTATCAAGTAGCATTTCTTTTAAAAATAAATGCAGTTACTTCATCTATAAGAAACGGTACTGGTTGCAGTGAACGGTATTTTTGGAATAGATAAAGTATTTTATGAAAGTGATGTTAGTTCGATGTATGTAAACAGACTGATGGCGGCAAGCTGAGTCACATGCGTTCCATGAAATATTGTAGGCTCTAATATTCAGCTTTTTGAATTCCACGGGCGTATTTTTATACTGATACACAGACCTATATACCGTCCATTCGTGTTATGATTTAGAAGATATGACACGGAATTTCTGTATATAGTGAAAAAGAAATGTATGAAGCTGTCCCTCTGTTGATCTAAGTTCTGTTTTAGCACAAGGTTTGTGTGCCAGAATTCCCCCATCTCCTTCCTTATACGTCAGAAGTTCTAATGCCTCTACCAGTTACATGATGGTTTAGTCTGACAGTGAAACAATTACCATTCTCTGTCTGTGGCAGCATTGTTATTGATGGAGGAATAACAGTCCTGACTGTTATGTCAACAGGCAGATGTGCGTCAAGAATACTGAGTCCTGTTGTGTGATATGGAACTTCATATTTTGACTCATAGAAAGGCCCATCCAGAATAGGCTCGCGTGGAAGAAAGCCACCTGAAATCAATTCAGTATTGTTACAACGACCTGGAAGACAGTTGTTCAGATAGCTGTTCAGATTATGAATGCTTGAAACACTGAAAGTGGAACCTGTACACTCCTATCCCTAATCCTGTTTTAACTCTGAAAGAACACAACAAAAAAGCAATTAACTTATTACCACATTTGCGTCAATTGAGTTTATTAACTATGTTAAAATCACAAGACATGTTTCATCTCACTTGGAGCCCTCAACAGGCGATACATTATTTAAAGCTATAAAATAGTGAATTGTAATTATAATAACTATGGATCCATATTACAATTATATTATAAAATTATTTATAAAGTAATCGTAAAATATTTTATTTTAATTTGAATTTATATCGTTATCTGCAAAGGTCAACTTAGTTTTATATTTTTTATGCCGTTAAGTATTTCGTCTATATTGCAACAAAGTCAAACTTTTATAAAAGACATTAAAACATATTTGTTACACTAAAAGCGGTTGTTAAATATTTTAAATGTCATTAACTACAATATTCCAGTCGTTTCTTTTTGGCGCCTATTTGTCTTCTTTATGTCGTTTACTTGTGTTGTGTATGCTTGAGTGCTGTCTTCCCATGTACAAGGGATCTACGATGGAAATCTCCTACGAAAGAAATTAATAACAAAAACAACGACGTGCCTAAGGGCACAGAACACAAAGTGTACACTCCAGTGGTCTTCCCAGTAAGTGTTGCCTGATTATGACCCATATGTGGCCGAAACGTGTACCAACAAAAAATGAATGTATATAGTTAATGACATTTAAAATATTTAACAAATACTTTTAGTGTATTAAATATATTTCGTGTCTTTTATAAAAGGTTGACTTTTCTGTATTATAGACGGAATACTTACAATCTAAAAATGATACCACAATGTAACAGGATGCTGAAATACAATATTGTACTGGTAATTTTTATATTTTGGTTGTATTAAACAGTGTCAGCTTTATAAACTTGATAGTGTAATTATGTTAAATAAGATTTTTCAAGTAAGGAATCACCAGAAGAGGGTACAGTCACTCTCACCTTCTGTTTCAGCAGGTGGTGAGAAACGATTAGGTTGTGAAATTTTGTAGTACAGTGAGTTATCTGTTGGTCTGTGTTTATCCTGAGCAGAATAAGGCGTGGGCCTGTCCACATCATCACCGCCACCTTCTAGAACTGCATCTGCTGCTACAAATGGAATGATTCTGCAAGCACATGTTATATTTTGTAACAATGTTAATTGAATATTCAGATATGCTTATTTTACTTTTCTCTCCAGTTTGACTTTAGAGTATAATTGATTTATAAATTATAATACTTATGTACTGTCATAATTCTGGTTGGATTGGACAATGGATTTATTGCCCACTTAACACACAACTCATAATTACACTTAATTATAGCACCATCGCTCTTCCCCACACTTTACAAATCACTGTTACACACACACACACACACTAGTGTTCTCATTCTGTCACCAGACGTTTCCTGGTACGGCTTCTAACAATGGCTATTCCTCGGATTCTGGGCTTAAGACCTCTCCGAATGGCGCCTCATTTCCAACTCTGAATTCTTACTCCAGTTGTTCTCCTTACAACCCATCAGCACGGACTACCGTAGGAAACAATGCCACCACTGTTGCCGCTGGAACCTGTCTGTTTGCGATCGTTGCCTACGAACGGCTGCACACACTTCCATAAGGCTATTCGTCCCGAAGAGCCTACAGGCTCAGCTTCATTTCTTCTTTTCCAGTCGACGCGACAAAAATTCCGAGAGTGGCTGGGGATCCCTACATCTCTGGCATTTCGGCTCTGTGCGGCGGCCGGCTCCTCCACAATGTTTCGACGCGACTGTTCGCGTCATGATCTCCAGCCCAGTGGTTTGTCCGAATATCCTGCCGGATGTCCTCTCCTTTCTCAGGCACAGTCTCGTCTCTTATTCCATTGTTGCCATTCTTCTCACGGACGTCAGTTCTTTTGACGTTCCTCTTGCCATATTGTCCCTGGTCCAGTATTTTTTCCGTCGTCTCTGTTCGACCTCTTCCCTTATGCGGTGTAGGGATGACGGGGCGGGTCACCCCGCTGCGTGAGGCGTCCAACTTCTTCCGGGACACACCATCGTCCTGGTTCCGTTTCTTGCGTTCTATGGCTGCATACCGCTCTGACAGCTTCCACCGCGGCCTCTTCTTTAGGGACCTCGCTCCATACTGTCGCTTCTGGTCAGGTCATCGGCTCTTTCTGCTATGGTCTCCTTTAGGTTCGTGTCCATCTTTTCTTGGTTGGAATCGGTCCGAAAAGCGAGGGAACCTACCTGGCTTTCATCTCCTCTTTCCTATCTTCTTGGCTGGTTTCTATTTCAGCCCCTGTTTTGGCTTTGTTGTTATGTATCACTGCTTCGGGCCCTCCTATGGCGGCTACCAGTTGTTCCATTTTGTTTCATTTTTCCCATTTTTGTAGTATGGCGGTATAATGATCCAATGCAGTTTCCAATCCAATCCCACTTCTGACACCAGTTCTCACGATTTTTAGTTATTCCCGAAGCGATCTTGGATTGGATGTTGAATTTATTGACCACTTTAACACAAAACTCGTAATCACACTTAAGTATAGAAGCATCGTTGATCTTCAGACTTTACAAATCACTATTACACACACACACACTAATGCTCTCAGTCAATTATTAGACGTTTCCTGGTAACGGCTTCTAATAATTGTTATTCCTCGGCTTTCGAGCTCAAGTCCTCTCTCAATGGCGGCTCCCTTCAAACTCTAAAATTCTTGCTTCAGTTGTCCCTCTTATAAAACCTTAGCATGGACCACTCTAGAAAACACCATTTTCAACAGTACCTCTAGTCTCGCGTGCAGACTGTTACAGCGGGAACCTGTTTATTTGCGATCGTTAGCTAGAAACGGCTCTGCACACTACAGTATTTTGTAAACTTATATAAATTAACTCCTTTACTTATGGCTTCAGCATGTAATTAGCAATTTTGCTTTGGAGAGGCTCAGTGAACTATAGCAAGGCGTAAAACATTGTTTTGGCTAGTATTCATTTTTCTAAATTAAAACAGACAATCAAAATATATGGAGAGGTTAGAAACAAGTGTCCTTAAATGTGAATTCAGTAATTAACTCTGGTTGTATTTACCTCAGATTTGGTAAAGAAGGTGGTAATGAAGGTTCGTTGTAATCATATTCATAATCATTGTCCTTTTTACGGGTGATGTTAAGAATAGCTTCGATCTCTGGTGGAATTGAGCGTATAGGCGGTAATGATCCATTCATGGTAGTGATGTTATCATCTTTCTCAACAATAGTCACATTGCTGTGAACTGTTATGTTTGCCACATATATATCTTCAGGAATTATCACTGTTGTGGGAAATAATGTCATGAATGTTGTCTCTGTTTCCATGGTCACAAGATTTTCTTCTTCCTCACTCAAAGTTGTTGTAACAGTAGACACTTGGCTGTCCTCTGTCTGAGTCACTATAAACCTTTCTTGAATGTTATTATCACCTGAAGGCTCCAGGATGGTCTGCAATGTCACGGTAGTGGGCAGCGTAGTGCTGGTGGTTTTGATGTCTGTTGTCATGGCAGCAGTAGTTGTCTCTGACCTTATGTCTTCAGTTGTGGTGTCCATGGTGGTACTGCTTGTTGTCAAGGAATCTGTTGATGTCTCCATAATGGTGGTATTTCCATCAAGGTTGCTCCGCCCTTCACTGGTGACTTGTTGCTGGTAGTGATTTTTTGATTGTATTAGTGACCCAGGCATTGAGCGAACTGAACTAACCGGTTTCTGGTTGGTTATTGCACTGCTCTAAAAATAATAAACAATTCTATAATATGACAGTTTCTGATTCTTATAGCAGTGACCTTATGCTGACAATCGAAATTTCAACAATTTTAATATATTTTACATAGTATTGCATTGAGGCCTTTATTTTCAATAAAACTAATTCCTCATGAGTTAATATAGGCAATATAAACTTTTCTTTTCTTAAGTTAAACATGATATATGAATTAATATTTAAAGATACACCAATATAAGTAATGCGGCCCAAATACATTATGCTTTCACAGCGTCTAGAGTTCACTTAAAAATCTTTTAACAATATATTCATTACTTCTAAAAATGTAAAAATTAAAATTTGAATGGATGTTGAAACTTGGTCTTTGGCGTTAAGGTAAGAATATAGATTAAGATTATTTGAGAAGAGGATACTTAAACAATATTTAGTCTGAAGAGGCATCAAATGGTATCAGGATGAAGAATACTTCATAATGAGGAGCTTCATAACTTGTACTCTTCACCAAATATAATTAGAATGATCAAGTCAAGGAGGACGAGATGGACAGGATATGTAGCATGTATGGGGGAGAAGAGAACAGATACAGAATTTTGCTATGGACCTTGACATAAGAAGGAGGGTTATATTAAGATGGATCTTAGGGAACTAGGATGGGGTGGTACGTACTGGATTCATCTGGTTCAGGACAGGGACCAATGGAGGGCTATTGTGAACACAAAAATGAACCTTTTGGTTCAATGAAATGTTGGGAAATCCATGAGTAGCTAAGTGACTGGTTGCTTCTCAAGAAGGACTCAGCTCTGTGGAGTTAGCTAGTTAGTTATAGTTTCTTCTATTTAGTAATAAAAAATCCAACTTGTATTAGAACTAGGTGTAGAAAGGGAGCAGCATCCGCAGTTATAGTCACGCAGCATGGAGGAGTACTCTTCTGGTGGCATATTTAATTACTAATTACTTCCTGGACTGGTCTAAGAATAACTTCTTAATGCCAATGAAGAGACCCATAGTATTGTCATGGAGACTGAAGATTTCAGAAATCCATTTAAAGACTTTTGTAGGCAATATGAAGTATACTGATTTAGAAATTAATTTTTAGTGTCATTCCTAAACATATTAACATTTTACTCATAACATGCCAAAGAGAAAGTGTAAAATTAACAGTGAACCTGAAACAATTTCCTGCTTTAAAGCAGGGATAAATTATACCGAATTTGAATATATTACATGCAAAATTTTCACATCTGTAGTAGCCAAATGTAGTTATTATTCGGTGTCTAGCACACACACAAAAAAGTCCAGATCTGTCAAACTACCTCAAAGATCAGTGAATTTTTATAAAACAGTATTTAAAAACAGAATAACAGACAATAGCTGTACATATATATTTATAATTGTATTGTACTATATTAACTATGTGACTGGTTCTATATCTATGTGTATGGATTTATGGAATATACAATAAATGAATGAATGAATAGCAACTGAAGGAGCATTGTCATTTCATGCAGTTATATATATATATAAGTAACAACTGTGGTTTACCTTGTGTCCTCTTTCTTCACTCACAAAATCTGGTCACCCTAATTCTGCCATACGCTTAGATAACCCAGTGAATAAAATGTCTTGGTATGGTTTAAATAACTGTTGTTCAATTCCTGACAGAAACAGAAATTTCTTTCTTACTGCACCAAGATTGGATGTAGTGCCTACATAGTCTCATATGAAAGGAGTTCCATGGGCGAAGCAAGCCAGAGCATGAAGTTAACCACACAGTAACCTGCATCTAGTACTGATGTGTAGAATGCACAGGGCTTTACCTCCATACATCTCATGTGTTTTCACAGTGATACCTAGGCACATGAGCAATATTACCTCTTTGGTGTTTTTCCAGTGAGAAGTTCCAAAAACCTGTATATTAGCTTCACGCAGTCTGTCTGTCCATTTGTTTGCCTGCCTGTCTGTCTGCATAACTTCAGAACTGGTGAGCATACTCCCATGAAACTTGATATTCAGAATTTTACTGAAATCTATGAACATTTTCTGATTTGGGGTAAAATCTGATGTTAAGAGGTACCTCACTCCTTTGTATCACTATCACAGGAAGACTATATTCATTTCTGCTTTCACCTTCAGCAAAACATGCTGCAAAAAAATGTTTCAAAGAAGTGTTGTAGAGAATTATGAAACGCACATTTTATGATCAAGACGTTTTCTGTTTGAGTCTTGTGGTATTCAATTTAATTAAATAAAAATAATAAGTGTACCAGAACTCTTATGCTATGTGCAACCGTGGAATAAAAAATTTTGGAATTCTCTGCATGCAGTTACGTAGAACGTAACTGACTTCATACATTCACTTGTTCACAAATGCTTTCCAAAATTGTTTTTTGTGTTAACAAAGGGACCATATGCATCATATTATTATTACTCCAAATTTCTTTTGGGCACTGAGTTTTACTCCTGTCAGATTCAGCACTGTAGTTGTATTTTACCAGTAACTTAGAATCTGTGTACAGTTCCAGATGGTTGTTGCCTGTATCAAGGGCCAGGAAGTTCTCCTCTGCCAGCTCAACATCAGTTACACCACCTGGAATTACAAGTCACATAGTTACAATATAAATACTAACAGATGTACATTTACATTTATTTTCACTTCATGGATCCAATCATCTCCCCATATGTAATTTACATAATTACATGTGTGCTAATAAGAATAAAATTAATACTTTTAGAACAATATCATGATAATAATCTAAACCACTCTTTTCAAAGCAAAGATGATTCTTGATCCAAGGAGGTACTGTATTTCTGACCAGAGGAGCAAGGTGTTCAGCCACAAGCCATGAGGGGGGGGGGTCACAGCCCCTTTGTTTACAGTATTGTTTACTGTTTACAGTATTCATGTCAACACAGAATGAGCCTATAATTTCTAAAATGAGGGGTTCTTTGGAGCATAAAAATAAATTCTTAAAATGTGAATTATAGGCAGACAATAAATTTTATTATGAATTGAATTGAATTGAATTTATTTACATTCTATAAATCCTAAGCAGGTTAGTACCTTTGGATACAGAACAAGTCAAAAGATTACATACATAAGTACAGGCAATTTTAGCTTAAAAATTAATATAACTTAATTTTACATCATTCTCTATTTACATTGAAGTATTCATCTAAAGAGTAGAAGGAATGAGCATGTAGATAATTCTTTAACTCTGATTTAAACTTTTTAGTATCATTGCCCAAGTTTTTAATACTTTGTGGCAGATTGTTGAACACTTTTATGCCAGTAAAGTAGACTCCTTTTTGATATACTGATAAAGTTGATGAGGGTAGGTGGAAGTTATATTTTTGTCTAGTATTCATGTTATAGACATCAGAATTTAATTTGAATTTATCTTTGTTGTAAACAACAAATAAGAGAAGCGATAATATGTATTGCGATTGAAGAGGTAGAATTTTTAATTTCTTAAATAATTCTCTACATGACTCTCTACTTCTACATCCTGTAATGATTCTAATTATATTCTTTTGTATTTTAAAAATTCTTACACTATGTGAAGAGTTCCCCCAAAATATTAATCCATAGTTCATAATAGAATGAAAGTTGGCATGGTAAACCATCTTCAATGTTTCCTGTGACATAAAAGGCTTAACTGATCTCATCGCATAGCAAGCTGCATTTAATTTAGGTATAATTTGTTCAATATGTATGTTCCAAGACAGTGTACTGTCAACATGTATTCCAAGGAATTTTGTATCAAGTACTTTACAGATTAATTTGGCATAACTGATGTCCAGATCAATTTGGTGGTTGTTTTTAGTTGTGAATGATATGTATGTTTTGGCCCCATCTGTTCACAGTATATGAGTATGACACAGGTTAGTATTACTTTCTCAGAAACATATGTTGAAATCTGCATCTAAATATTCCCGTACTTCTCGTTTGCAGACTTTTCTTGTGTTTCAGATAAACAACACTGATTACTAAGTCTGGTTCAGGACACTGGGGTGGAGATGCAATGTACGAATTCTGATGTTGTTTGGCCCTCAGCTCACTCTAAAGCACTGATTTCATGTGCTTTTAATGCATTTAGAATTTTATAGGTCATTTTTTGAATATTTTCAGGTCATCAAAATCCGGGCCCTGCATATTACATTTTTGGGTCATATTTTAGGTCATTATTCTGGATTTTTTGGACATTTTACAGGTCATTTTTTAAATATTTTCAGGTCATCAAAATCTGGGCCTTGCTTATCACTGATGATTGTGAAACGTCACATAATAGATTTAGCAGAAATAAAGAATGCAGTGTGAGTGAGAATGCATCTTCTATTGGATATAAAATAGAGAATGAAAGAATAACATATTAACTTATTATATAATGTGTACTCACTGCAGTTGTAGCTTGTTGGGCAACATTTTCCTGATGTTATGATGGGGCTACATCCCAGCAGAGGTGGAGTGCATTCTATAGTCATACACTGTACTCTGCCCTTCATACAAAAGCAATTCTCACATTTTGATTGGGCTACAGTGTGAACCATTTCCCCTTCAGGATAGAACTGGCCATCTAATTCACATCCTGAAAACACAATGAATATGTTGATATTTGAATTCTTAATACTTTGTTTTCTGAGAATTTCAAAATTGTAGTCAAAAAGAATCAAGGTTAAGAAGAATTCAAGCAGCAAAAGCCATGGTTTGATGAAGGAAGTTCAGAACTATCAGATCAAAGAGAACAAGCCAAATTGCAGTGGTTACAGGATACATGGGGGTAACCTGAACAATGACAGATGTAAAGCTAGTTGACATTTCAGGAAAATACCTGAAGGACAGAATTAATAAGCATGTATCAGACAGTAAGAATAAGAATGTCAGATACTTACGCAGAGGTAAGAAGGGTTATCAACTTAGAACAAACTTGACAATGGTGATCTGCTTGCATATTCCCACAACATTTTGAATAGGTGGAAGAATTACTTCTCTCAATTATTGAATGTATATAGAGTCAGTGATATATGGCAGGCAGAAACACATAAAACTGAGCCATTAGTACCTGAGCCAAGTACTCTTGGGGTTGAAATTGATGTTGCAAAGCTGAAAAAGTATAAACCGCCAGGTAGTAATCATTTCCAGCAGAAATGATTCAAGCATGAGGTGAAACATATTCTGAGAACCATAAACTCATTAATTGTATTTGGAATAAGGAAGAATTGCCTGAGCAGTGGAAGGAGTATATTGTTGTATCAATTTGTCTGATAGTTTTCCTATTTGGATTGTTCTGAAACAAGATGCTTTATTGCCATTTCTTTCCGTCTTTACTTTACGATACACCATTAGCAAAGTCCAAGAAATCAGATGGGATTGAAACTGAATGGGACAAATCAACGTCTGGTCTAGGCTAATGATGTAAGTCCATTGACAGATAACATAAATACCATAAAGCAAAATACAGAAGCTCCAATCAGTGCTAGTAAGGAGGTTGTTCTAGAAACAGAAACAGAAAACTCAGTATATGTTAATGCCTCATCATCAGAATGCAGGAGAAAATTATAACATAAAGATAGGTAACAGATCCTCTGAAAATGTGGCAATGTTCCAATATTTTGGGACAATAATAATAAATTAAATTTTGATTCATAAAGGAATTGAAGGCAGAATAAATTCAGGTAATGCTTATTACCATTCAGTTCAGAACTTTAGTTAGTCAGAAAATATGTATTTTCTTTGATGATATTTGTTGTGAGAAATAAGCATCCTTATAAAACTAATCAAGAAATTCATGGTCTAAATACTAGGCACAATACTGACCTTCATTTTCCATCTGCTAGATTAACGATATATATAATGAAGGGACATATGCTATTGGAATGAGGATATTTAACCATCTTCCTATAATATAAAATCATTATCATATAAAATTGAATTGTTTAAACCAGCATTAAAGAGATATCTTTGCTCGTGGTCATTTTATTCATTAGAGGAGTTTTTTTAATCAAAATAATTTGTAAATACTGATTGGATGTAAATGGGATTAACTGCCCATGATTTATTTAATCCGTCTTGCAGTGCATACACTCATTTATCTCCTTCTCTCCCTCGCACTACATGTTTCGGCATAATAATGCCATCTTCAGGTGCTTACTTATCCACGTCAAACCAGTTCATTGCATGCCATGTTCACACATTAAAATAACTAAAATATGTATCTATCATATACATTGTCAAACATTAAAAATATTAAAATTGTTCAGGATACCACATCGCTACATCGCCCCTCACTACGTCAGTCACACCCATTCTCCTTTGTTGGAGCACTCCTTCATTATCTTGTGTGTTGTGCTTTTGTTGTGTCGCGCTCCTGCGACTGCGTGTGTTATACTCTTGGGCTTCCTGGGTATGTGTGTCACACATACTGACAATTATATCTCAATTTTTTAAAATGTTGTTCAAATATAGTTAAAACTAGGCACTAAACTTGGTATTAAATGGCTTTTAAAATTAAAATTAAAATTAAAATTATAATAATATTAAGGTACTTATAGCCAAAATTACAATTTCCATTTAAGCCCTGTGCCTGCTATATATTGTACGTGTGTTATTTGTTGTTCCACTATGGTGGTGATATTGTGCTCTGGGGTATCTGCTTGCTGGATCTTTCTTCAGGATATAGGCCGCGTTGGTTTCATGACCTTCCTATTAAATGTGTGAAGGCTAAACAAGTTGTTAGGGGTACCCACTCGGGTTGTTTATATGTGGACTTAGATGTTAGAATTTGATATTATGTATATGTGTATATGCAGATACCCATGCTGAATGTTATTGCTGTGCTGTAGCTGTTCGGTCTGCACTGTGAGTGCAGGATATTAAATCAGTTAGACCATTACTGCTTCTTCCCCAACTATGACGATGGATAATGTCCAAAAACATAATGTTTGGACATTATGTAGTCTAGTTACTGACAGTAGTAAGATAAATCAGAGAGAAAACTCTGTTTCAAGCTACTTTCTGTATTATATGAGGACAGTTTTATGGTATTATATTGTGTCTTCCCACCAATAACTTTTTAACCAGATAACAGATTATCATGAACATCTTGCCAGTAATAGGACACCTTGCCCATGTTCTTTCTAATGTCATACTGCCAGTAATACCTGCACGGTTTAAATTAACCCTTCAGCACCAGGGGCATTTAAATCGGTTTTGCACTCCAATGCTGGTGGCTATTTAATGTAGGTCACGACAGTTCATGTGGTAATAGACACCTAAAGAAGCTGCAGCAATGGTAAACATAATATTTTTGTGAATGTGAAAGAGAAACATATCATTCATGTGGATTCTGTGCAATTTAACTTTCAGTTTAATGGCAGTAATCCATTAACCACTGGAGCTAGATGTGACAAAAATTTTGTTTGAAGACAGGATAATAAAGACCCTTACAAATTTTGTATAAAATATAATTTATGTGCATTAATAATGACAAATTTTGCAATGATGAGTAACCTTGTGGTTATGGATGACAAATTTAACACTGCGGGCATTTACACTGTTATAAATTATGTACAGAAGGTGACATTAATTTATAATCCTTGCTATCATCATATACATGTATCATTTTGAAGTGGTCGCGATAAAATAAAGGCATCTCCCCTAGAATTTAAAAAAATTGAGTTTTGGGGTGTTGATCAGTATCACAAAGCATTCAATGAAGGATGTATGGAAACAAAAAGGTGCTGACTGATTTATGGTTATCAAGAAAGTGATGAGCTGCTGGAATTGAGAAGTTCATTGTAGATAAAGGCCCAAGTTTTCCGTAAGTTCCCAAATGTATTTCCTAAAACACATTTGTTTCATGCATTAAGGAATACTGAAACAAATAAGCTTAAGGTTTACTGTTTTCAGGAAGACTTACACTTAATTTAGAAGTTGTATTTGCACATGTAGCAATGCCATGCCATGTGGCTAAAATCTGAATCACATGAATGAGACATGCAAATTTATGCTCACATACAACCACAGGAGATCAAACAGGAAAGGTCAAGAGATCATTTACTTCTAAGAGTGAAAGTGTTAACCTATTTGCTGCTTGTATGTAATATTAACAAGGCATGACTGTAATCACCATGTGCTAGTTAGATATGTTGGGAACAAAATGTTTCAACCATGTGGTTAGAACTTTTATTTTCTAGCAAAGATCCTGGATTCAAATCTCGACCTGGAGGTTGGCTACCAGATTGAGCTTTTTATCATATCTGAGCAACTAACAGAGTAATACTTTCAATTAGGCTACAACCACTTCATTTCAAATTAATCTTTCACTAATTATTCAATCTTTGATGGTATCTAAATCCTAGCCACTGAAAGTCTCACAAAATAAACTAAGAATAAATAAATAAGTAAATAAATATCTTGACTCTGCACACACTGGTTCCACATAAAGCATAATGGCAACTTCTGCCCTCTGTAATAACTAGCTGCAACCAAATATCATTTTGTGGTTGAATGCAATGGTATGGCATACTCTCGCCTTTATCCATAAAACAGAAACTGTTACTAAAACTGAGAGAATTAATTGAAGTTGAAAAAAGGACAATCCTTTTAAAGCAATTTTATATTAAGTTTACTGGTTTCTTTTTGGCAGAAGGCTTAAAAATGTATGTCCTTCTCTGTCACATAAGAGCACTGCTCCTGTTGTTTCTAGGAACAGGCACTGATTTTAATTATTGTGCTTTTCATAATCAGATATAAAAGACTATTTCAAGATTTTGCAAAGAAGGTTGTTTGTAATAGGCAGATAAAATAAAATTCTTCCTTTCATAATTTTATGCATTGAGTTGTAACACTGAACACCATGATATGAACTACAAAAATTCACTATGGCACTAATGGGACCAAAATTACTGTAGGATATCTTGTCATTCCAACCTTCATCACACAACAGTTCCTAAGCAGGCAGTTAATATTTCATTACATTGCTCTTAACAATATAAGGATTTGATTACTTCCTGAATTTTTTGAAGAAGGGACATCATAATTAGTTTTATTACCTTGGAAATGATAATTTTTTGGATCTCACACTGCAAGCACAGAGTTTTTGAGGCTGGTATCCTACCATTAGTTCAGTGACCAAGATTTCCAACAGACTGATAAGGTTATGTCCTCCCTGTTGTTTGAAGCAGACTTAAACTGCAAATCATAGTGTTTTCAATATTAAACCTAGAAGATGGATAATTTCAAAGGCATTAAAACTAATAAAAAAATTGATATTTTGCACTGCATATGAACAGTTCAGGGTTGTAGAATTAGGTAGTCAGAGCTCTAGTATTTCGAGAGCCAATACTTACCAACCAGTACTTACCAACAAAACTTGAGGGCGCTGCAGATGTTGTTGTTGTCTCAGCAGCAATGGCTTCACCTGTAATGCAAAATCAGTACTACCATCAGAAAATATGTAAATTTATGTTGGACACTGTTCATTGTAATTACATTTTATATATAATATATTTTCAAGATTCAGATTACTCCTGTTTTCAGATAACTGTTTATCATTATACCAAGCATCCTTCATGACTATGTTTATTAGGGTCCCACTCAAGTTAGTGTATAATAATAGACCACTATTAATAAGAAAATGAACTGTCAGTATAATGGAAGCGAAGTACATGAATAGAGCAGATGAATCCCACATGATTTATTGCATATCAGACATGCATCAGATAATCAATAAATCCTAATATACTCATTTTATGATGAGAGAGAACTATACGTACACAATTAAACTAATATTTTGATAGTGATAGGAAATCGCTATCAATGATACAGTTTAGCATAGGGTGTATAATTTAATAAGAAACTATATCCAAAAAAATGGAAGAATCAAACATGGATATCTTAGGAATGATGTTTTAAAAAGTGTCTTCAATTATGCATCAGCATAATTGATATTACAGTATTTACACTGACATTCGGTATTCTTTTCCCATACTTAATAAAGAAAATTATAGCGGTTTGAAAAGGAATTCCTATATCAGCCCAAAGCATGAACATAACAGATGTGGTTGGTACTAAGATTAAACTTACTGCAGTTGTAATGTGTTGGACAGCAAGAAAGGGCTCTGTAACCAGGAGTGCAGCCTTCCAGAGGCAAGAGACATTGTGGCCTGATGCACTGTTGATTCCCCCTGATACAATAACAGTAGTCACAGAGCCCAGAAGTATGCATGGCAGATCCCTCTGCATACACAGTTCCATTAGCCACACAAGCTGAAACACAATGTGTTGTCACTTCATTAACTTGACTTCAGCTGATTACTGGTATCCATACAATTTTAATTAGTATTCAGAAAATACCGGATTTGATCATGACCACTGCCATTAATAATGAAAGGTGTATAACTGAGTAACTATCTCTGTGATAGCAGGTTCAAAACCACATCATAGGACAAAATGTTAAGTCACCACAACATGATATGTCCTCGGCTCTCAGATGGAGATGGCCTCCAGATATGCAGCATAGCCACAAATATATTAAGCAGTCTCAGACAACTGACAAGGGACGGTCATTATGCATAGGGTTGAGTGCAGGGTTAAAAACCATTCAGTGTAAAACTTTTACATCTTTGGAATCAAAGAAATTAATGACAAGAATTATCTGACAACAAACACCTGAAGGGAGAAGCAGGGCATATCTCACAATGATACACCATGATGATTGCAATACTTAATGTTCATATTTCATTGCAAACTTTTCTAGCGATACTGGTACTTCTAAAGTGTGAACACTTGGTTGTAACTGAGCATGGGGTATGTTGTGAGAGCAGCTATACTTGTAATGAGGGGTCTGAGAGCATAGGCTTTCTTTTGTATCCTGTTTGACTAAAGAAGGTGGCAGAACCAGTTTCTGAAAACTAGTGGTTTTAATAAACGTGATAAATGAAAAAGGTCCAAAGAATAGTTTTAAACTAGAGTTTATGCTGCAAGAAAGCAGCAAACATATAATTTACTCTGCTCATTTGCTCAGCATACTCTTAGACCCTGAAGATGGAGGCAGTACTTTCCTCCAAAACGTTGCTAAACTTCTATATAGAGTACAGCATAACATGATGACGATAGTGAGTGCTTTTCATAGTTGCCATAGTAAGAACCTCAAATCTCACAAAATTATTTATATTAGTTGCCCAGATTTAGAATGTAGTAGGATCTTAATAAAACACATGCTAATAGAATTCTGGAAGTTAGCTTCTTTTGCCTCTCGTTCTTTATTTGTTCCTTCCCATTAATTTGTTGTTTCTCTTTTTGCATATTTCTTTTGTTTTGTACCAGGATCAAATTGTTCATAAAAAGTAAATTCATGATACAATATATCATGCAGCTTGTGGTGTTATTTGTCTCTCAGTGACTGTGAATCTTGCACAACACATGTATTAGCTTTAGTACTGGCCCACTATACAATAATGTGCTGTTCATTCTATTACAGAACATTACTTTTGCATGCTTACTGCAGAAATTCCACTCCTCTGTCTTACCTCTGTCTGTCTTCATATCATTTCCTCCCAATGTTAAATCAGACCGCCCATCCAACTTCTTTTTGGGTGTTCCTCCATCTGAAACAGAATAATCAATCAATACTGTTTGTCTATATATGTACAAGTGGACTGGTGCAGCCATAACATTTTAGGCTCACATTCAAGAGGTACTATGTTTGAACCTTGTCCAGGACTGTCTTGAGTGTCTTGAGCCCACATGTTTTTTACCCAGTGAGGTATGTGGTGATGCCATCTTGTGGTGTGGGGTGGGTTTTGTGTGAAGTATGTGGTGATGCTGTCTTGTGGTGTGGGGTGGGTTTTGTGTGAAGTATGTGGTGATGCTGTCTTGTGGTGTGGTTTGTAGTGCATTTTATGTGCCAGTGGTTGACATAAAGATTAAGTACTTTTTCAAATATAGGATGTTTTTGATTAAAGAGTACTTTGTTCATCTGTTTGTTTATTTGTAAGTACAATAGTGATGATATTTCTCTATGCTGTTCATATGTCCTCCCTTTTTTAGCTAGTTGTAATACATCCACTGTGTCCTACATGTCTCCATGTGCATGTCCTGTATTTACATGTACAGTGCATAGGTATATGTGTCCTTGTTGTTACTTTTCTTTTATTGCTAGTGGGGCGGGACTAAGTCCCTTGCACTGTGGCCACTTCTGGCCTATTGTACCAGTCCCAGATGACAGGCGAGGTTGATTGTGGAGCAACTGGTGGAATGAAGATTGGCAGGGGAAACCGAATTACTCGGAGAAAACCTGCCCCAGCGCCACTTTGTCCACCACAAATTCCACTTGACTAGACCCGGGATCGAACTCGGGCCGCCACGGTGGGAAGCCAGCGACTAACTGCTTGAGCTATGGCGTGGCCCTTGTTACTTTTTACTTTTACGTGGTACTGGCAAGTCATTCTCTCTCAACAAATGCATTGCCCTGTCTCGGCTACTTGAGGGCTGTGGTGAAGCCGTCTTGTTCACACACAATATTAAAATACAAGGGGCTCATTTCACATAACCCCGGCTAGCAACTTCACAAAATTCAGTTCCGTGCATTTCGTTATCATGCACATTAAAACAAGCTACTCGTATATATCTGAGGAGTGAACTGTCTTATTTCTCTAAGTAAATTACGCTTTTCGAAATTCAACTCCGCTTTTCTTTCTTGGTCTCCAAAAATTAGGCATGGGTTATCTGCAGTAGCCCCCTGAAGATGCACGCACCACTCATAGCAATGTGTGTTTCATACACATACATAAAATGGAGCATAAAGGAACTGTGCATATTACAACTTCTTGGCTGTGCTGTGTGTGTGATTAGTGCACCCAGTTTAGTCAGAAACAACATGTTATCGAGAAAAGGGAAGTTGTTGTACTGTACTGTACATCTTAGAAATATGATAATTTAAAATACAAAATTTTCGTAAAAAAAAGGTAAGAAAATTCAACCAATGTGAACTGAAATATGGTGTTAATATTTTCCGTGCATTAGAAATATTAAATTACATTAAATTTTACTTGTAAGTACATATCTTACGACTGTTCAGATCTAGGCTGTGAGAAAACAGTTTCAAGAGCCCACTAAAAATACTCAAATTTTGGATCTCCAAATTGGTGCATATTGTAAAGAAGCAGCTCCATTTTGGCCCACGTTATGCAAAAGCATAAGTTGTACTTAGGAGCCACAGCGAATGGCAAGATAAGAAACTCCCTCAACATGAGGCCAGAAGGCGGTAGAACGAGTGGAATGGCCACCATGATCACATGACCTTATCTGAGAGGCCACCTGGAAGCCAAAATTCATATTTTGAAAGCACACAGTGTCGAGCATCTTGAAAACGGAGTTGTCACTGTGCAATGGGATCACACCACACATAATCTACCCCTTTCTGTTGGACTAACAGGTATGTATACTTTTTTGTGTCGGCGTGAAATGCGGACATAATGAGCACATTTTGTAATAAAAAGGTAAAGTTGCTCCTGTGTTTAACTAAGTTAGCACTACGTCATGAAGTGGTATGGGGGAGTGGATTTATAGAGCTACATTTTCTTGACCTCGGCACTAGTTGTAGGTGAGTGGTTAGCTTCACAACCTTGCTGCTTTACCCCCGGGGAAAGAGCCCCCAGTACCCATTGTATAGGAGGTTGGGTGGACCCCAGAACCGGTCTGGACGACTTGGAGAAGAGAAAATTCTTGACCCGACCCCTTGGTCGTCCAGCCCGTAGCCAGTCGCTATACCGACTGAGCTATCCCGGCTTTTGCAGATTTTTACAATAGCTGTGTTAAAACTAATTGGAGACATACGGAAGGCTCCGCAGGCTAATACAGGCAACTGCATTGCCTCATGAAATATAAGTCTGAAACCATAAGCTTTTCTTTTTATTGTTTTCACATCCATGTTACAAAATGTGCATACTTTTATTATCCAAGGTAACCTGCTCTTTCATGGCCTGCGTGTAATGGTACAATTACAAAATGCAGCTGGGGGCACGCGGTACCGTAGTTGGTTGAGGCACTGTGCTACAAGCCGGAAGGTCGCGGGATCGAATACCGATGCGGTGGATTTTTCTCAATTTATCTAATCCTTCCAGCCGCGCTATGGCCCTGGGGTCGACTCAGCCTCTAAGAGAAATGAGCACCAGGAATTTTCCTGGGGGTTAAAAGGCGGCCGGCGCGTAAGGCTGACAACCTCACCGCCATCTATGAGCCTGTTGTCTAGAAAATGTGGGAGCCTCAACATTTCACAAACCTACGGACCTCCATGGCCTGTTACAGGGATAGCTTTACTTTACAAAATGCAGCTGCGTTACAACCGCATGGGTCCTGAACTCGCCTCTCGCTGTAATAATGTCTGCAGGACCACCGAGTGTACACGTACGTTATGTAATACAAGGTTATACTTTCCTATGAAGAAAAAAGCTAGTAACGGGCTTTATGTGGTGATTCTTGCCGTGACGCCCGAGGAGTCTACAAGGGCTTAAATTCTTATGTTTTTCGCACAATTATCCGAGGAAAACTGTCGTTAATATGTAAAGGTTGAAGCAATCTGCGCTTCTTAAAACGAGCAGCAATTTAACATTCAAATTAAGAGTTCCAGTTACAGGACAAACTGCTTCGAGACGAACACTGCAAACAACAGCGTTGCCCGCCGAGTATCCACACATCCGTCCGTTCATGGCATCAGTGGCAGGCATAACGTCGGGAACTGAGACCCGTTGGTTGTTTCTTGGTGGCCATTTGCATTGCCTTATAGCGGTAAATGAGAACCGCCAGGACCGAAAGTCAAGGACGACTGAATAGCGCTGCACCCTATTATTCTGATACAGATTTCGGCCCGAAACCAGCTACTCTGACTGAGGTTTCGGCGGTTTTCTGCAGCCTCTCCAGACAAAATTCAGGATATCCCACCACTCGACGTTATACTAACATGTAGCGAGGTGCGCTCACAATGGATCGCAGTCTTGGATCGTAAGCGCTGGTGTATTTCGGAGTTGCAGCTGGAGGCTGTCCCCCATAGTTGAATTCCATAGGTCCGTATGGGTCTGAGCACTTCTTTGTGTAGAAGGAGTTTGCTTACTATTGATAGGGAACTGCCTGTGACGTACGGAGATCCTGTCTCAGAATCAATGGACCGGAGAAACTGAGATTACTTGGCTGTTCGCCGTCCGAGATTCTAGCCAGGCGCTGCAGTCACACGCATTACTGCTGAACTACGGTTACAAGTTCAAACAGAATGCAGTAATTTAGGATCCGCGCGTCTGCAGGTTCTGGAAACGTTGTCCACTTACCGTAGCAGGGCCTCCTGACAACGGGAATTTCCCAATCTGTAAATACCGCTGATGGCATAGCAGAAGGTCGCAAGGCTGATGCGCCCATAAAGCTCACGAGGTTTCCGAAGTCCTGAATATGGCGTAGGCGACAGGCCCACACACAGACTCGCGCTGTGCAGCACTGCATCCGCATTCATGTTATATCCGTCACTTGCCCATTTTGTTCTTCTTTTTTGTTTCGACTGTCCACCGAGGCGTTACTTCGCACTAGCGACGTGAGTCGGTGTGTCGGTGCCGTATGGAAGAAACAATTTCGGGATTTTTTTTATCGATCTGTCAGTGGAAATGTAGAAATTCAATTTTTGTCGCGTTGTAGGTAAAACTTAGTCCTACAAATAAATAATATATCTGTAGATACTTTTATAGTCTGCCCACATGGACTTCCAAGACTGCAACAAATTCTTCGCCATTTCAGCAGCCTCAGCTGTAACATAAAATAAAACTTCCCCATACGATCCTGAGCCCTCCAGTTCGCAATACAGACTACTTCGTCAAGAACTCAGAACACTTCATAAAATGAGTATAGAAGATGAACTCTCAAAACGAAGACCGCTTTGTAATTTCTGGCGTTGCCAGTGTATTCACCAACGTGCCAGTCGAAGAGGTCTCACAGATCGCAAGAAACAGACTCTACTGGGAGCCTTCTTTCCCAGAGCGCTCACCGTTACTGGTTGGATACGTAATATACATCTGTTTCACAAGCACGTGTTTCCAGTTTGAGGATAAATTCTGCCAGCAGAAAGAGGGCATGGCAATGGGGAACTCTGTGTCTCCGGTGCTTAGTAATATAGTATTCATGGCACTCTCCGGGGAAGCAGCACTGGACACAGTGGCCTAGAAACCCACCAGATGGCTCTGAAACGTCGACGACACATTCGTGGTGCGGCTACACGGACCAGCAAAGTTACAGCAATTTCATCATCTCAACAGCGTTAGGCCTACCATGAAATTCACCATTCCATTCTTGTCGTTTTGGTCATGAAGCGGGGTGCAAAAGTGTGCAGGAAGCCTACTCATGCTGGTAGTTATCTCCACTTCAAGTCCACATCACGTAGAAAGGGGAGTCGTTCATAGCTTGGTCAATATAGCCAAGGTCACAAGCCAAGGTCGGGAGGAAATTAGGAACATGAATTCCCACAACAATTAATTGAGTCAATTATGAAGCCAGGGAGAAATACCCGTCCTTCTTCGGATTGGTCCTCGCATTGCACAGTCGAGATGCCATATGTCTTGGGTATTTCCGAGAATTCCGACGCAATGACAACTGCTTCAATGTCAGGACTATTTACAGAACTCTGCTGAAATCAATAGATATTTTCAATATACAAATATACACCGAAACTCTATTGCTCGCATTACTTTTAATTTTCTTTCAATTCCTTCTTATACTGTTGCGTACAATGTCGAACCAATCACTATCGGATAACAAAATCCGGACTGTCTGGACTCTCCCCCGGCGCATACACCGGATGTAGGTTTGAAACTGAATGCAATCAATTTGTAACGGTTCCGTGAGGTATACGTCACTAACAGCCGATGATGAACCCCGTTCCCCTGGGAACAGAGAGTCAGAGCCTCTCCACTTTGCTCTCACTGGAGAATGTGTCGCAATGCAAATTCTAAATTTGGCCGTATATCTAATCACGACGGCATAATTTAAAGTTTAAAAATGCCTTCTTTAATTAATTAATTATTTCATTCATCAATGGTTCTAGAGCCCTTTGTTGGGTCCTGACCTATTCTTCAGTTTTCTAGTCAATACACAGTCGGTAGGACTCCTTGGACAAGTGATCAGCCCGTCGCAAGGCCGCTACCTAAACACAGAATAAACACACAGACATTCATGCCTCGAGTGGGATTCGAACCCACTATCCCAGCTTTCGAGCGAGCGAAGATAGTTTATGCTTTAGACCGCGCGGCCACTGTGACCGGCCTTCTTTAAATCAGATTAGCACATAGAGTTGTGTTTGACAAAATTGCAATTGTGCGTCTGGCAGATAAAGCAAGAAGTACGTGCCGAATGTCTCAATCTGATGGCAAAGATATTTCTTCTTATTGAGAAACATGTGTGTGTGCCGTGAGTGGCACGCGTGCCATGTTTTGACAGCACTTTGCTGCGTTTGCACTGCTTACGGGGAAACCCCAGGGATGTGAATAACATTTAATGTTACATTCAGTCGTGATGGTTTCACTTCATTAAGCAGCACTTGGGCTTGGCGACCTTGCCCATTCTCAGTCTTCAAGCTGTGCGCGCGCGCGCGCGCGCGTGTGTGTGTGTGTGTGTGTGTGTGTGAGGGGGGGGGAGGGGGGTAAGGGGGAGGAGTGAATGAACATGGTCTTAACACCGCTGTAGCCGCACACAGCACTGTAGCTACAACGAGGAGCAATAAATTCTTTTAGGAACTTGGCCATACTACGCGCGCGCATAATGCACTTCAAGCAACTTACGTCGCCGTACCGTGCGGCAACTTCTTCGGCACGTACGTAATGCGGGACAGTATAAATAATTGCGCTGAGCTTGTAAGCTCTAAAAGAGTTCTAGGAGCCTGTGAACACGGTATGTTAATACGGCGATTGACGTTTTGGGCACAATCCATCGTCCTGGATTTATATTCGAAACGACGTTTCGGAGACTTCTGTCTCCATCATCAATCAGAAAGCCTACTCAGTTGGGCCCAATCGATAGAGCTAGTCCCTATCTCCGGAGCTAGAGAGGACAATGGACAGTGTCCAGAAAGTCAGTAATTGTGCTGTAAGCTCTATTCTTACCAGTGTGAATTTATCGTATACTAAGGAACTACAAAAATATAAGTTCTAAACTTATAAAATTTGGTACGCATATAGTTGTGGTTTCCATGTTTGTAGATCATGGGGCGGATACTCAGCAAGATGATTCCAGAACAGACTTCCAAATGTTGCACCAGTCTGACCCGGACAGCATTCTTCTCATCAGAAGTTAATAGAGCTCCAGACACACTCCGCGATAATGACTGATGTTTGGAAACTCTCCCATATTACTCCGTTCAAAGGCTCGTTTGGAAAGCCCGTCTTCCCATGGACACACTGGCGAAAGAGCACTAGATCACTCAACACAGGCTTCGCAACTTCTGCTACTGCCTTCTGTAATGACTGTTGTCTGCGTTTCCTGCATTATATTCACAACTTCAGGAAAATTCCGTGAGGTAGGGTTGCGGTAGTGTAGTTGGTTGAGGCATCATGCTGCAATCCGGAAGGTAGCGGGTTCGATTTCCGATAAGGTCAATGGATTGTTTTTTTCAATTGACCTAATACTTACAGCCGCACTATGGCCTTGGGATCGACTCAGCCTCTAACAGAAATGAGTACCAGGATTCTTCCTGGGGGTAAAGGGCGGCCGACGCGTAAGGCTGACAACTTCACTGCCATCTGTGAGCCGACTGCCTAAAAAATGTGGGAGCCTCGACGTCTAGCAATCCTATGGGCCTCCACACCCTGTTACAGGGATAGCTTTACCTTAATCATGAACTGTTACTGATATGTGTGTTCTATTTAACAAACGCTGAGAATTTTGTTTTGATATTGACACATACGTATTTGCAAAATAGTGCCTGAGAAAAGCGTAAAGATTACTTTCTGCACCGTAACTAGAGCACCTCACTGTCTCATAATATTGGAGCTCGATATGCTGACGAACTTGGAAACGTACAGATTGTACCAAGCTTTCCTGTATAACATTCGAGCCTAAATCTGGCTCTGGTTCTGATGTCTGCAATAGTTTCAGATCCTTGATTTAGATCTAAAATAAAGTGCATCAGCGTTAGAATTAAACCAGTCTTTGTGAGGTGCTGCAGAATCCAGGCTGCGAAACCCCAGCTGACTTCCCGGAACAAATCAGACAACCTTACTTGTTAAGCAGTTCTACCAACAACGCATTTCTTCCTTCCATTCATTAATTTTTACTTTCCCTTTATCATCATCATTATCATCATCCTGATCTCAAACACACATCGAATTATATCTAGAAGTGCCACGAACTGCAGTTGCAGTAGCGCGCTTTGCGCAGAAAGTATCCATTTCTGTTAAGGCGGATCTGTTTCTGACTGTGAAAATTCCTAACCTTGAAAAATACTACGGCCGAGGCATGCCGCGGGGCGTGACCCTCCGGGTGAATGTCCTGCATGCCGTGCTGATTGTTTCCATTCATCTGCAGACTTCCCGCCTCGCTCCCAACACTCATTCATCTGATATCTTGCTGCTGTACAAACCACGTACACGGGAAGGCAGGTGGCTCCGGGCGGGGAGATGTAGTCGCTAACTCCTCGTTCGTGTCCCGGCTGTTGCCACTTCCAGTCGTGAACGGGGATTCAGCTATATCGATTGTTTTTGTGGGTTCACTCAGTCATTTTACGTAAATTCTGGAACAGAATCTTAAATAGGCCACGGCCGCTTCCTGTCACACCATTCCAAAAACATTTTGCATCGGGAAGTTATATAATTAAGTTAATAATTATAAGTTTGACACAGCTTCATAGAACAAAAAGCGACTAAGAACGTGGTTCGATTCCCTCCAAGGACATCCGAATCTTTGCTTGCTACCTTTCAGGTCAGAACTTTCTGTCTTCTCGCCTGGTAGCTAAAAACGTAATACGTAGAATATACAAAACTATAATTTTGCCTGTGATTTTGTATAGGTGTGAAATTGGCCTCCGACAATAAAGGAAGAACACAGACTGAGGGTGTTTGAGAACAGGGTGCTGAGAAGAATATTTGGACTGAAAAGGAATGAAAAAGCAGGAAGTTGGGAAAAGTGCATAATGAGGAGTTTCATGACGTGTAGTAATTGGCAAACGTAATTAGAATCAAGTCAATGAGGATGAGATGGGCAGGACTTGTAGCACGTATGGAAAGAAGATGAATGCATATAGGATTTTGTTGTGAGCGCCAGAAGGAAAGGACCGAATAGGAAGACGTAAGCATAGGTAGGCCTGGATTGATCTGGCTCAGGATAGAGGGCTCTTGTGAACACGGTTATGAACCAGCCGGTTCTATAAAATGTAGGGACTTTTTGAGTAGCTGAGTGACTGGCAGATTCTCAAGAAGCATTCAGCTCCTTAGAGTAAGTTATGAGGTCCATATGTGTGTGTGTGGTGAGGGGGTACAAGTGTTCAGTAATTCCTGAGTGCCGATGCCCTTGTTCGCAGCATATTTTCAATGTAGCTTCACATTACAAAAATCTCCAGGAAAGATTTTGTTTTAAGAACAGGCTATACTCGTACGCCATAAGTTTAAGTGTAAGTGTAAGTAAATTTTCTATGATCGGTGTAACGCGAAGAGAAGTGTTTCAAGTGACTGACATAACAGTTTGCAAATACATTTATTACATCAACGTCAACTTGATCCGAAACGTATCTGTAGAGATGATGTGGTGACTCACCCCTGCAGATGAGCTCTGGACAGCAGTGGCGTTTGCGATGAATCAGTACACATTCGGGGGGCGGAGGGTTGGGTAGAGGGCGACATACACGCAGGTAGCACACTAGAGCGCCCTGGCGGCAACTGCAGTTGAGACATGGCTCCTCCCTGATGACCACGTGTTGCCCCTCCGCATGCACCAACCCCTTGTAGGTGCAGCCTGGAAACGAAAGACTGCCCTCAGACTGCGGTGCTGCAGTTACACATTCATTGCCGGGTGATTACTGGATTTGCCAGTTGAAATAATTCAATACAATGTGAGTAGACTGTGAGCCGGGGCAGCTCACTTAATACAGTGACTGGATGATCGACGAATAGGGTTCCATTCCTTACAGCGGCTCTGGGGCTCAGCCAACTTCCTTTGTTGGCTATGAAGCCAACTAGTCACTCCAATGTAGTGCTGAGGTTAGGAATGCGTGGAGCTACACCTTCATTAACATGGGGATAAATTCACATTAGAGTTTAAGGTCTTTCATTCTGGTCCGTCACACTAACAAATTAACAATCAAGTTCCTTCCGTCAAATGTGACACTTTTTTAAGTTTTCCACCTCGTCACCACCTGCCTTACATGTTTCGGCTCACCACGGAGCCATCATCAGAGGCATTTATAGTAGAAAAAGAAATCACCAACACACAAAACTTCACTTTGTCCAAGATAGCCACGTTCCAGTTAATTAAAATAATTACAAATAGT